ATGGAGTCAGTATCGCACTGGCGATAGTCTCACAGTATCGTATTCTGTTGGATGGAGAGCTAGGATGTTTTTTTTGTTCAGTTTAAAACAAAGCATTCTAAAGATGTGCATTTGCAATACTTGTTGTTAGCAAGAGTTAAGACTACAGAGGTAATAATTACTGTTGTACTAAATAGTTGAAGGCTTAATTTATAACACTTCAACAATCTCAATATCCAAAACTGACTGAACTGGGTTTTTACCTCCAAAAATATTCTGCTTTAATTGATATCGATTTTTTGCCATGCGGCTTTGAAAGCTACATTTTTACTGTGGTGATTGTGTTTTCTCTCCTGCTCGTAACAATATTTATGGAGCTGTCCAGCAGCAATCTAACAGAACCACAGATTACATTTTTATAACCACAATGACACTAAATCAGACGATCGCTAGAATGTTGCTTTTTTTCATACGCACCACCAATGCCTTGAAGCATTGAGAAAGCAAAAAGAAAGGGATGGACTTGTGCTTAATTCAGTCTCTCTAAATTCAGGCCTTGCATAATTGACTTGCGATCTGTTGGAGTGGAAATGTGAGATCGGTTTGTGGTTATGGTTACAAACGCCCATGTAAACATCCTTAAGATACGGCCACATTAGCATCCTCATTTAAACCAGCTCAGCTATGGATGTAAATCCCATGTTTACTCCACGTTTAGCTATGATTCAGTCCAGCTACTTCGGATCTAAATACATATCTAACTTTATTCATCTTTCATGATACTTGACAAGCTTAAATAATAATATAGATTTATTGGTCTTCCTGCTTACGTTGACTCTCAACTGTCTGCTTAATCTCGTCTCCCTGGAAGTCTCAGTGACACTTGACTGGAGTCTAAGCAGTCCACTTCAGCTCAGTTAGTTACACATTAGAACAACATGGTACCTGCTACTTTATTGGTACCTCAACCTGGATTCCAGGGAAGCTGAGCCGATGATATACCTGACGGGTGGTGGCGGCGCTGACGGGGGGAGAGGGCGCCAAAGTTGGTACCCCCTGGGTACCGAGTTTGAGGCCCCTGAGTTAGAGGATTCAGCGAGTGTCCCTTTTTTGAAGATAATTTGGAGGCAGGTTCATACGGCTATGCCGCGGCGGTGAGGCAGCTGGAGGGATCTCATGAGATGGACCGACTGAATCTGGTGTCTTCTGTAACGGCTCCAAACCGTTTTAATGACTATTGTGAGAGGCACGAGTCTAATCTTGTTGGCTTCTTCATCAGAGGAATTGGAGCAGCAGCTCTGGCACATTCGGGAAGGAAAATCTGGGTGAGACCAGATTTGTAGGCATGTAGTATTTTGCTACATTTTCCTCGCAAGCTTTGACACAGGGGAGGAGATATTTCCATGACAACCTTTCTAAGCTCCCCGTCGCAACACCCACAATCACACGACAATGCTGGTGTTATTTTGCCATAGTGCTGCGGTCACCCTGCGCCCCCGGGTTCCCTATGGTGGTGGGGCTGCGATGTGGTTAGCCTGAAGTACAACACGTTTATTTAGCATTAGCAATCAGTAACACCAGATACGGTTTAGAGGTGAAGAGCTCTAAGTCGCTCTCGTTGAGGCGTGTGTGTGTGTGTGTGTGTGTGTGTTTTGGTGTGTGTGCGCTGGCTGGATGGCAGTCTAGTGTGACTGCTGGTATCTGAGCCGACCCTCTGCTGGCTGGCCTGTGGGAGGACGTGGCTGAGCGTCGGGCCCCCGTCCGCGGGAAGGTACCGGCCAGAGGATCGACAGACCGGGAGAAGGCTGCAGAAACCGTTAATTAAGTAGAGCTCCACATGTTTAAACATGAATTGCCAAAATCGTACTGTAGTCGCCCCCCCATGAATATAGATTTCACAAAAAGCACTCATGTTCAAATGCAGCTTTTCTGGTGTTTTGAACCCGACAGCATGTCACAAAGTGCTCTATATTTTGGGCTGCTGCTTCACTGCTATTTTAAATCCTACGTGTTTCAGATCTTCCAAACTAGTATTCCACATACATGACAGCTTCACAAACTGCTCACTTTTGTTCAGCAGTGGAGTTTTGCCCTTTGGCTCCCAAACAACTGCCGTCCCTCTATCGAGAATAAACATTTAAATAAAACATGACTCGTCACAATGGGGACGTGCCCTTGTTGAGGTTTTGCTGTTTTTAGTTCGTATTGGTTTCATGGATGTATTGGAGACACTGAGTAGGACACAGGATTTAGGTTTGGTCCGTTTTAATAGGAACACAGACTTTTTTAGACTGGGCTCGTTGCCCCATTGATTGAAGACGTGTCATTGAAATAGTTTTTCTCCCTCTTTTACTTCTTTCTCGGTTAGCAATCGGTCCAGCTCTCAATGCATTTGCATATGCATAAATTATGCTTTCTCATACGAACCAGGCGTTTGAGTCACACCTCTGTGCTACTCGGTAGAGCGGAGACATTCAGCGTGGTTACATGGATTCGAATAACTGGCTTAGTCGGACTGAAATCGAATTATCCGTTTCATGTAAACACCTTTGTCTGACTATGTGCGGTCCGACTACGATCCGGTTAACACCCCTGGATAAATCGATCCGATCCGGTTGATAGTTCGACTATTGCGGCATGTAACGGTGAATCGGATGAGGAACTGGACTTTGCGTCTTTGCGCATGCTTGAGATCCCGACGGCGTCTTCTCTCCGTTATCAAATCAGCCAATAGCGCCATTCGCATTCGCTATACTCCTATTAACATCATGCAAAAATAGTAGAGGGATGTAGCTTCACCTTGCTCTCAGTTCGCCATCTTTCTCGTGATGTTGTTGGTAGTGGTGAAGCGGTCAAGCGGAAATGGCTGTATCACAACTAGTTGTAATGAAAACAGCGCCACCTATCGTATCGGCCAATGATTCGATTTATTCACTGCCATGTATATTGGGATAATAGCACCTCCCCCCGAAAGATAGCATAGTCCGACTAAGCAAAGATTTGAATTATACCATCATGTAAACACACTGACTGTAGAGGACTGCCTCATCACTGGAGGACAAACTTGCCCTCGCAGCTTCCCCACATCTCTCTCTCTCTTCCTCTCCCGTCCTTTCCAGGTTGTCCCTAGCAACAGCAAAGATCGCCTGATGCATGAAGACACTAACATTTCTTTCATTTTTTCTGGTTGTTTAAAAAAAAAAAGCATTGTATTGACGTGCATTATACAGTTACAGGCTACTCAATGTTTGTATTTTTTGAGGGGGGCGGGGGGCATGTTTGTTTGTGTTGGTTTGCAACGGCAGTGTCATCGGCTCCCTGTGTTACAGTTCAACGGACAATATCTCAACACTTGTTTTCTTGATCACTTTCATAAACTGGTAATGATGAGATTTCTATTTTTGGGGCTTTTTCTAACGCCCACCCAGCCATCGCAGCCAATCTACAAGGCCTCATTATGATTATGCTAACTCGTAGCCTTGGCAGTCCCACTCCTTGACTTTTCCTTGAGTTTCCTCTTCCTTTTGGCTGTCTGTTAGCTCCCCCAGTCCCAACCTTAGGCAGAAGGGTCTTTGCACTTCGGAACCTGTCTTTCCTTCTCAATCAGTTTCACAGCTTGGTCAATGAAGCTATTGGTGTGTGTTTGTGTGTGTTGGAGGGGGTAATCGGGCCTATAGCGATCATAGTGTCTCCCCTCTGGGTCTGACCCAAGGCTCTGCTTTTCTTTCCTTTTTGAAACACTGGTCACAATTCCGCTTCCTACTTGGTTTTCTGAGAGCAGCAGTGTGTAAACGGAGTCCCATCAATGGCCGCTTTTGTGTGGGAAGTGAACCGACAGTCCGCTGAAGGCTCTCCAAAGTTGACCTTCTTTAAAAGACTGAGTGAGCGGACAGACTTATTTGTTTGATGGACTCGAGATGGGATTTGTTTGACTCTTCTCTCAAGTGTCTGTTTGTGTTTGTGGGCACCAAAATGATTTTTACTAACGATGAGCAGAATCCGTTTATAACTGAGATAACATACGGGAGCGGAGGGGTTGTGGTAGCTGTGATAAGTTCCTTTTTGTGTGAGATTTTCTGGCTCCAGATAGCCGGCATGCCTTTACAGGTGACATATGCTCGCGGGAGTGTAATCTACATGTGTGCTTGTTTGAGCACGGATCTGCACAGCCCTGATTTATCACCAGTGTCACTGAACACGGAAGCAGTGGGAACCTCTCCCCTATATCCCCTCACATCTATTTTTACCAGCCCGCTTGAGACCGAGTGATTGGGAAGACAGGACTGGATGGATCAAGAGGGGGGAGCAAGGGAAGGTAGCAAAGAGGGGAACGCCCCTTAAACATTTGTCTGCCAGAACAAAAGGAGAAAGATTGTTCCTCCGCATGCTACCGTTTACTCCATTCTCAGCGCTGACAGATTTATTTCCGTTTGTAGTCCGAAACAATAAATGCAGTAGAGCGGGACACCCAGCAAGAAATGAGCAGGGGGGAGGCAAAGGCGGTGTGATCAAATGGAGTAATAGTGAACGTTTGGAACAAAAGATTTAAATTCACAGTGACGTCATCTCACTGTTGTCTCAGCTGTGAAGCTGTTTACCATTGACGCCACGCTGGCCGACTGTCAACAGTCAATAAAGACGAGTGCTGGAATCTCACAGGCTGCATGCCGCACCACGCACATACATATTCACATCCTCCCCACCCCCCACATATGGCAGGCTCCCACTGAGGTGTTACTACGATGCCTCACACACTACCCCAGTTTGAAGGAAGAGCGCAGCAAACAATGGAGACTGCTGCTGTGACTGTTTATATACCCGTATTATAATTGCTCATGTTATATTGCATTGAAACTCTCCCAGACGCTGTGGGCCCCGGTCCCATTTACCTTAAATCCAAGTGCAGGATGACTGTTTAACGTCTTAAAGAAAAGAGTTAATAGCAAGATAAAAACAACGCTTCCTTTCACTTATCTTCACCCGGACTCCTTGTAACTTCCTCTCTTTGATTTGCTGTCCAGGTACAACGCGTGGCCCACGTGACGGAGAAGTTTCTGGCGTGGACTACAACTTTCTCTCGGTGGAGGACTTCCTGAAGTTGGAGAAGAGCGGGACCCTGTTGGAGATCGGAACGTTTGACGGTAAACAAATTGCACATTTGCTTGGATGTATTGTATATAAAGTTGGGTTTCAGACATAACTGGTTTTTGAAACGTGGCCTGCTGGCACAGTGGGACACACATCTATTCAAACGAAGTGTATTTTAGCTTAGCAGAAAATAACCAAGTGCCTCTACACCAGCAAGCAACCACCCATGGTACATCCCCAGCAAGCCGGCGTATTTTGTCCCCTTCCGGGCCAATCAGCCTGCCAGGTCCACCAGCTGGCACAGCGGAAGGGAACCATGTCTCCTCCAGTTGTTCACCCTGGTTTCTGGTTTCATTCACAATCATCAATCACGTCAAAGTAAATCCACTAATACGGATAAACTAACTGAGCGGAGAGTCTTCTCGCTGCATCACAGCGGGAAGACCTATTGTATTTTTCTCAAGAGGAAAAATAACAATACATTTGTTTGTTGTGTTTTCACCGCTATCGATATCTCTCTGCCCGACACAAATGTTGCCTCTACGGTCCTCAGTCCAACATGTTTCCTCCTTTCTCTGGGGGTGTTTGGAAGCAGCTCTCTGACACACTGGAAAGCTCTGGTTATAGTAAAAGCAGACTAGATAAAGTTGACAGGGAAAGTTTGCTGTCAAAATCTTGATATGCTTTGTCTTTTGTATAATGGGTAGATTCATGAAAAATTGATGTGTTGGATTATATAGAACACAGGTGTCAAACTCATCCGGCCGCCGGGGGTCCAGTGTGGGGACCAGGCAGGCAACAAGCTGAATTCATAGTTTGCCTGTTACCAATCTCTCAACATCAGACGATAACATAAAGACAAATTGACAATTTTGTAACAGAATAGTTTCCATAATCGAAAATGCATTTGTTCAGATGTAGCACACAACCGTTGGTGATAAACCAGAGCCACTGCTTACACACTGTAAACAACAACAATACCACCGCGTATCATCTCCATCCAGCCAGATAATGTTTAATTAACTGTCTGCTGTGTCCACTTAGCTTGTTCGCTGTTGCATAACAATGGATTTCCCTTTGACTTCACGCCAGGAGAAGCCAACGAGGCCAATGGGCTTCTTACTTGCTTACTCTTCTCCACTGGTGACCGTATGGAGGAAACCACAGGCTTTCAGATATCAGCGTTGGCTTCCGACTGTGAGCCTGATTAGCTTTTAATATTCAATAAAGAACATGGGTTGCATTCTATGTAATGCACTTCACGAGACGACTCTGCGATTGCTGAAAACAAAATGAGCTGAAAAAATACGAGCGTCCGACCAAAATGATCGAATCAAACAAACTGTTTCCACCAGCTTTGAGTTTAAGTCTGTGTGTAGTGAAAAGTGTGGGGTTGTGCGTTTGCAACCACCTATCTGAATACTTCCATCATCACGCCTCACAATGAGTTTTACCAATTTATACAAGCCTCTTCCGGTCTTCAAATGTACACTCTTCTGTTTTGGCTCAGGAATACAATAATATCTTATGGGCAGGTTCTCATTGTCATTAAAAAGCTCTTGAGAACTGATTGCAGAGATTGCAGTCGGTGTTCATTAATATTGGTATCCATTACCTGTGTGCATTTCCTGCTATGACCTGCCAAGATGTCTGCTCTGAAAGAAAGTTTTTTGTTTTTTTTTAAAGTTTATTTTACTTTTAGTTTGCCAATTTATCTCATGAATGTAACTTTGCCACTTGGACGAAAAGATGTATTTTTCTACGGCCTTCACACATTGGGAGCTTTTTGGATGGTGGCTTTATATTCAGGTTGTCAGATGGTACAGCCTCCATAAGTCTTCCTGCTCTGACTAAAAATGAATCCGTTTTTCTTTGGATGTTTGATCCTCTCGTCTGTTTAGCTGAAATGTTGTGATGCCACTGGAAGACAATTTGGCTGCAAATTGCTCCACTAAATGTCATTTGTTTGAACTATTTGGAAGAAAACTACCACACTACTTGTGTATCCAATGGCAAAAGATTTCTTGCTATCAACTATGATTCAAAAGAGTATTCAGACAATATTATAGAGAAGCAATTATGTCATTTTTTCAAAAACACCATTTAAGTCAATTTCGTTAAGTAAAACAAAAAAAAAGGTGGTCTCAACTTTATTGAGATTCACATTCTCCCAATTTGCTTACAAAGGCTTTAACTAAACCTTTGACCCGCCCTACTGAAATACCCTCCTTTTCTCCGCCTTTTTAAAATTTAATCCCCCCCCATCTCTGCCTTCCGTTGCCTAGGAAACTATTATGGGACGCCCAAGCCACCGGTGCAGCCCCCCAGTGGGAAAGTAATTAACAGCGGCGGTATCGGCGGTGATGCCCCTCTGCCAGACGGGCTCAGCGGTAGCCTGCCGGGCTCGCAGCACTCCACTCCCCGACGACGCTCCAAGTCCTACAATGACATGCACAATGCTGGAATAGGGCCCGGAGAGCGGCAGGAGGACGACGACGAGGACCTCCCTGACATGACCAGTAGCTTCACAGGTAGGCGCAGCGTGTTTGCGTTTTCTCTTGATGAAGAGTTTGACGAGGCCTTTTCAAATATTTATTTCATATCTCCTGCGACTCTCGAAGGCGCTTTGTCGAGTCTGGGAAAATAAATAAAACCCTGGTGATGTTATCGGGATTTATTTCATTTCTGCTTGGATGTGGGGACTTGACATCTCGAACAGAACGTTTGTGTTTACAACCTTGAAAGTTAACTAGTCAGGTTGGGGGTAATAAAGTATGTATCATCCAGTTGCAAAATGGGAAATGTAGGATCCAGTGTATTGGGCTTTTGATCAATGACGCAGGTCGGGATATCTCGCTCTGCTTCAGCTCCCCCAAATCTATACAGATGAAACACTAAATAGCTGCAATGACCCTTTACTTAAGCACCATTTAGTTTTTGTATGGTTGGGAGGATGAAATAAGGAGTTTGAGGCCATCACTCAATGCGTTCAAGACTGACTGAACACATGATTTAATCACACAATATGTGGTAAGTGAATTGATAATGAAAGCAACCCACCAAACCCAAAACTAGTACGACCGACTACCAACGGTGGAATGCAAGTGAATGCTGAACCTCACATATACAGTCGATGTCTGTTATTCAACTGGGCCACTGAACAGCCTGCAGAGTCCTTTTTTTCCCTTCTGGCTGCTTAGCTGGGCACAGATGTGCATTTCTTATCCTGTTGAGCAGCTTCACTCTGAGAGTTCGGAGGTGAAATCCAATAAGTAGTCACTTGTCGTATCACTCAAGAACATTTGAAACATATTCTGAAGCCAGGTGCAAACAACCGCCTGTCTCCAATGAATTTAGGCACAATTTTCTTTCATTTGGATAAAAAAAATACCAGGCTGCAACTGGCTGGTACTACAGTCCGCATTAACATTTGCCAGCTTCGCACAGGCAACTGCCAATAATGTGCCACATTTATCATCTTCGCACACGGAGCACAGGCTAGTTAGTTTCACTTGTCTATTTTTTCACACCGATTTTTACGCCTTTTCTCAATTTTGCCTGCAACTAACTGTCAGGTGACTGGCCGCTGGCCACTTATTGTAGGTTTATTCTCATTATCTTTTACTACAGGACTTGCATGCTTCTTCAGCCGAAGTGCACACCTTTAAAGGCAAGCAAACCTGAGTGCATAGCGGTCTTTAACAGCAGCCTGAGAACACGCCACGTTCTGTTTATTCTGCTGTATAACACTGGAACGTGATCCTGCGCTCTGCAGCGCCGTTTGGAAGGAGAGAAAACCGAATATTTAGCTGTGATTGATGAAGTGGGAGGGGATGCAAGTGGAGACGAGGGAGCAGGAAATTAAATAGAAAAGAGGGAGTGGCCGGAGAAAAGGAAAGTGGGAAAGTCTGAAAAGGATTGGTTGGAGAAAGAAGGAGAGGCAAGGAGGGATTGTATCTAGTGAAGGAGGGTAAGCGCATAAAAATGAAGATGTAGGAGAAAGCACAGAAAGGAGGTCGAGACAACACTTTGGTGTGGTGAGGGAAGCGGAACACAAGAGCGTCTTTGATTGGTGAGTAAGTGGTCGCTGGGTTTGACTACATCTGCCTGTATCTATGCGTCAAAAAAATGTAAAATAGTGCCATCTGGCTGCAAGCGGCAGAGAGTGGATGACTGAGCAACCTCATTGTAGTAACCACTCTAAATCAGAATCGGAATCCATTTATTGCCACATGTGTTACACATAGTGGAATTTGTCTCAGTACTCGGGTTATCTGTTGAAAAGAGGGAGAATTTACAAGATTGAACTGCAAATTCTGGGAAGCATGATGCAGACATCACTGTTGTTTTTTAAAGGGCACTGAAATTTGTTTCATACCATCCTCCCGTTTTCTGATATTTCCTCTTGTGTGTTAGTAGGTCTGCAGACGTTGTCTTAAGGTTGACTAAAGCAGCTTCTGCCATGTGTTTCGAGAAGGTGGCATCAAAAGTTGTTTATTTGCCACCTTTGATTGCGCAAGCTGTGAGGGTGCCAGATGGGTGTGAGTGTGAAGATGAGATAGCAGGAAATTAGGTGCTAGCACTTTAGACGTCACGGTTGTAGGTGCGAACTGCCCACTCAGCGATCTTTAACTCAATTGAATGTCTCAATAGCTGTGAGCGTGACTCAGAGATTTTAGTTAAAAACAATGCGAATGCTTCCGAGTGTCCTTGGAAAGTCGAGGCAAGCTGGTGGCAAGATGAAGCTTTCTAAAGACTCTAGGACTACTTCCACCATGGAGGAATGTAGACTGGACATGTAAGTGAGATGTTTCATTGGATCCAGCTTAGAGATGCAATGGCATCAAAAGTGTAGTTCTTTACCCCTTTTCCGTTTGATTCTCAAAAACGTTTGTCTCTGCACGTTTTTAGTCGGTCATGTAAACAATTTGGCTGAAACCGGCATTTCTTGAGAAAATAAACTCCTCCCCGCCAGTGGAAGCAACTGTTGTGGGTTCAGACCTGTGCAATATTTCCACATCCAACCAAAATGTGACGTTTGCCTTGAATTCTGTAGGAGATTCCAGTGAATTAGACGAGATTCCTCACTCAGCGCGCCCCTACGCCCCCCGCAAGAGTGACCCGCCCTACGTTGGGAGAACCCCCTCACCATCGGCCACCACGGAGAGCACTCAGCAGTCAAACTCTCACCTGAGCCATCCTCCCCCGGAGGATCCTCTGGGAATTCTGCCCGACAACTGGGAGATGGCCTACACCGAGAGCGGAGAGGTCTACTTCATAGAGTGAGTTAACTGCAGGCAAAGTACCCAAGTTCCACTTTGTGTTCTGACATCACGGGCTGGAGCGAGATTCATTTCCTCACACTCTCCTACGCTCCATGTTTCTGCCTAATTGCATGTATGTTATTGTGGGCGTTCATTGAAAGCTTCAGAAAGTGTGGACTTTTGAGGGACATTAACATGTATACAATGGGAAATGCACCTAGAACACTGTTAATTTTATCCGCATGTCATTTACACGTAGCCACCGTACTCTAAGGCCCATAGGTACATTTGAATAAGAAACTGGGAAATAGAGTCTGCATGATGGAGCGGTGGGAGTAAAAACATCCTAAATGCAGAGTACAAAGAAGTCTGTTATAAGTACTTTGACCTTGTGAGACTCTGTTCCTTTAATGAATGAATACTCAAGCAGAGTTTTATATGTGTGTGTTTTCTGTTTAGCCACAATACAAAGACCACCTCCTGGATAGACCCTCGGTGCATGGACAAGCCTCAGAAACCCTTGGAAGAATGTGAGGACGATGGTACGTTCAGGGGCACGACTACCTTTTGAGACTTTGTGTGTTCATGTAATATCCTCTACTTGTGTGTTGCACTCCTTTTTAAATATGGCACAGACTGTTGAGCAGGGCTTCGGCCATTAACTTACAGATTCTTCTATTTTCTTTTTTGTCGAGTGCAGAAATACACGTTTATCACATTCTGCCTCACTATTAGAAAGCAATACCTGTTCATTAAGTACATCTTAGATCCTATTCATATATTCCCAATCAACCAACACTGCATTCAAATGGTAGTTTTAAGCCTGGGTGAGAAAACACTTCAGTTTAGTTACTTTAGTCACTTTAGTTACTGAAAATCACAGTGGTTCCCCGAGCAGCCTTTGGGTGTCAGTGTTGAGTCACGGAAAGTCGTCATGCAACAAGGCTCTTCTATATTTTCTCCCTCAGCGGTTTGTCAGAGCAAGATGCCGCACGGCACCGTGGAATATCGGCATCAGTGGCGTCATGTAGCTCAGACGAGGCGTCGCGCCCGCTGTTTAAAACACAGAGAGAGAGAGAGACATTTAATATGGTTCCTCATAAAATTGTGTGATTTATTGGGGGGAGGGGTTTAAATGTCATTTATGTCCAGTTTTGGGGGGAGGTTATAAATGTACACCAGCTCTGCTGGATCAAACTACACACAGGGATCCCGTCGTTTGGGGGAAAACATGCCCCTGGGATTTTGCTCACATGAGGCTGCGATTCTCAGATGTTGTTGACTGACTTGTAGATTTTTGTCTCCCCATCCCTCCTGTCCACTTTCTCTTTCCATTTCACAACGATCCTGTGCTGCTGTGCTGAGTAGAAGGGGTACACACAGAGGAGCTGGATAATGACCTCGGTAGGATATTTTCTTCTTTTACACTTTGTCAGTGTCACCCTGGCTCAGAGACACATCTGATTCACTATTGCATTTCAAAGCCTTCCAGCCAAATTCATGCATTTGGGAGTCACAACAAGTTAATAATCAGCATAATGACATAAAGTAATTTGCAGTGGATGAGAGATGACCATGACCACCAAAGACTCTAATCGTCTAGAAATGACCCATTATGTCAGACTGGCAGAGATCCGTTCTCAGTATGTGGCTCAGAGTTTTATCAAACGCACACCGGGGGTGATCAGAAAGCCGGCCTCAGACACACCCGTCAACGTGCCCACAAGCCACCAGCAAATCAGACACGTTCACACGTCATTTCATACATACGAGACGAGGGCCGATCCGGGGACGAATCCGACAATGATGATTTCCTAATGGGTGTCTGTGTGAGCCAGACGAAGACAGGCCTCCATCAGCACCCTAACTAGTCTATCAGACGCAGAAGCGTGGCCACTTGTGCAGGATAAATGGTGTCTGGAGACCGTGCCCTGCATCGTTATATACAGATAACAAATGATGTCATTCCATTTGAGGAGAGATCTGAATAATAATTGTAGAATATTGTAATAAAGGAACAAGAACGATAGATGCACACATTTCACTTCGTCCTGGTTCTGTTTTTGTTGAGTTTGGAATAACGCGTTGCTACAGACAAGCGAAACAAACCTCTTCTTTTAGCTTGATTTTTAAACACCTTCAGTTTTGTAAAATGGGATTGGAAAGGTTTTCGTCTGGCCCAGGGACTTGGATGGGAGCCCTGAAATCAATTCTCTGCTGCCACAGCTACATAGATCAATATTTTTTGAATTAATATTTAGTCAGATGACTAATGCCATGTGAAAGGTGGTGGGCCACAGAGAAACATCACACAATTCATAGCTTTAGCTCAGTTCTCCTGCAGCAGCAGGAGGACACAAACATCTTTACAGACCCTTTGTCTTTTTAGCTGCTCTCATTGGTTATTGTGTTAAACAGCTGCCGTGTTATAGGCACATCAAGCGGCCCTCTACTGGATGAATATATTCAATAATTATTGATCAAAACTGTTTCAATGCCAAGTGGGCGAAGGAACGCAATTAACTCCAGTGCTGTGAGGAGGAGCCGACCCAAGCATTTATGAATGCACACACTCGCACACTCTCTCTCGCTCTCACACACACACACACACACACACACACACACACACACACAAAGTGCCCTTGTAGTACATGCTCACTCAGGAGAAATCAATTGCAGCACCGTATCAAAAGAATGAGATGCAAATAGTTAAATGTAATTAAACATGCTTGGCTTCCCCTCAAATTGCCGATATACTCCTGAAGTTGGGATCATGGAAACCGTGGGGACAAAGTGGGCGGAAGACACTGCTTGACAATAGACGGCCTCCTTTCTCTTTATCTCTCTCTTTAGTGTGTACATTCACAGAAATGTATACAATGCTGTAAAGAAGGCTGCAGCACAAAATGTCCTGTCCCACACACACACACACACACACACACACACACACACACAGTCACAGGTGTTCCTCCAGGAGCGGAACCAGCGCGGTGTGAAATCAAGTGGGTGATTAGAATTTTGCCGCAGGCCATGCAGGAACGCATTCCATTTAATGTTCCAGTTCAGAAATCTGAATGATAATTCACCGTGGCCGCTGCGTGCCTTCACCCCGCCCAGCAGCACCGACGCTGTGACCTTGCAATCCATTTTTGGCCGCGTGTGCTTTTTTTTGTGTTAGGTGCCGAAGATCTGCAATTGCAGCAACACGACCGACCCGCTTGCAAGCGTTGATGACTCTAAATGCAGATTTGTCTGCCGTTGCTCTAAAACACTTTTTAGCCCACTAGCCGGTGTAACAGACAACAGATCCGTAGTGGTGTGTGTCACGCCCACACAATTTAAACATCCCCAGCTGGCCTTTTTTTTTACTTCTTTATCTGCTGCTTACTCCACTCTAACCGAGGGCCCTCCTCATTAGTTAGAAGAGGGAGGCTCTTCAAGTTTTATGATGTAATTACCAATTACGATTCTACTTGCACACAGGGCGAGGCTTAATTGGTGGGGGTTAATGATATGTAAAACTCATGCATCAGAGCAGAGGATCAGTTTGTAGCCAATAAGAAGCCTATGAAGTTATCCATGTGGAGGGCAGCCAATAAGCAATGCTGCTGTCACATCACTTTCCATTGCGAACCCAATCCAAGGCAAATTTGGCAATTACATGCTGTGGGACCCCACTATATTGCTACTTTTTCTTTACTTTCTCTAAAAGTCTGTAAAAGTGTCTGGCACTGTGAGAGAGCAGCCACTTTCAATGGCACATGCTCATATGAAGCAGGTTTTCCTTTGAGGCCATCATACTGCCATCGTGTTGAGCCAAGGACAGGAATGTTTTTACCAATGTAGGGATCCGAATGATGCAAAATGTGCTTCTAATGCACAGTGTTCATTAATACGAGGAAAAGATGTGTCATTATGCAAACATGCACGCATTTTGTGCGTTATGCAAATGTTTTTCTCCGCATATTTTAAGAGTGAAGCAGTTCACCCTCCTTACTTTAACCTGTCTTTCTTTCCTTGCTTCTATTCTTCCTATTCTCTCTCTGACCTCATCGCCACTCCTTTCTCTCACCGTCTTTCCACCTGAAATCCTTCCCTTCATCTCTGCCCAGAGGGGGTCTTGCTACGCTCTCATCTGATGTGTAGAAATGTCAGCAGTGTGTGGGGGAGCCATGGGGGGGTTGTGGATCTGTGGCGTCGCTCGTACCCTGGAGACTGACTCACAGGCAGTCACAACGTAGAGGCGAAAAGTCTCTGCCGGCTCTGCTTCTAATGGCCTGATACACGGCCCCCGGCAACTCTACAGCCTTGAGTTTTCACCGTTTCCTCTGTCTCGCTCATAATTTGTCCTTTTCCATTTTTTTTTTTCTTCAGAACTTCCACCAGGATGGGAGAAAATCGATGATCCAGTGTACGGGGTCTACTATGTTGAGTAAGTGTTCAGTATGTAAAGCCATCCAACTCTCCTATAGAAATGTACAGGCAGGAAGAAGAAGAAATGTACTTCTTGCAATTAAAAATAGATAATTCCCCTCTTCCTCACTCCTGACCTTACTGTAAATAAGAGCCTAATCTATGCACTGTCCTACAGCGATAGTTTTGCTGCAGCTATTTTGGTCTTTTGCGTGCTGCAAAATGTAGGCCATTTTGTTTGTGTCGCTATCATTTGGGATAACATGCAACTCACGTGTGTGCGTCCCTGTGTGTGCGTGTGCATCTCATCTTGTGCCCAGGGCCTCAGCATTAATACGAAAATGTTTCAAGCATTTTTGTTCAAAGCAGCCTCCGGGGGCTCGAGACTGTGGCATTTCACTGTTTCCCCCCTCTTTGTGTCTGTAATGTCCTCCTGTTCGTCTCCTCCATGGTGGAAGGTTAGATTAAAATGTATCTATTTGACGGGATTGTGTAACGCACTCTGAAAGAGAGTGGTTTGTGTGTGTGTGTGTGTGTGTGTGTGTGTGAAGTGTAGATGGATGCGTGTGTAGTGCTCCACTGTGTATTAATCAAGGCTTATCGCTATGTCCATCCCTCTCCTGACCCGATCTCTCTCCACCCTTTTCCTCCCCACTGTGCCTTTTCTTTCCCTCCCTGCCGATATTTACTTCTCCTCCTACACCCTGTTTTCTATCCTTATTGTTCCTTATTGCCTATTATAATTCCTCCCGTCCTCCATTTCTTTATTCCTCGACCTCCATCTGCTTGCCCCTCCTCCCGCCGTCCTAACAGTCACATCAACAGGAAAACCCAGTATGAGAATCCGATGTTGGAGGCCAAGAGGCGCAGGCAGCTGGAACAGCAGCAGCCTCAGCAGCCTCAGCCCCAAAGCCAGCAGCCACCCGAAGGTGAGCGCTACATCCGAGGTTTGTTCACGAGCCCCCACCATGGGCGTCATTTCCTTTCTTTCTATTCATGTCTTTGACTGAGTTGGTTGCGTCTGTCTGTGTGTGAGATTGTGTCTTTTTAACAGCTACTGCTACTGTATTTTCTTGATGTTGCCTGCTACTGCCATATAATTTGCTAAGTGCCATTCCATAAAGGCATAACTATTATTTGCGGCTGTAACTCGCAGCCCTTTTCAAGTTAATTTGTGCTTTCACTTTCGGACACTTGTTACTTGATAATAACTTGAAAGCTTGTTCCCTTGTGGAATGAAAAGGTAAGTTTTTTTTTTTTCTGCTTAAAATGATCTGCTTGCTGAAGAGAGCCTCCTTCCTGATTAGCTCTAAGTGCTACCAGTATTACAGTCATGATTTAGCTCGCAAACCTGCCAAAACACGGCTAATTGATAACCTTGGGTTGCTGCTGCCTCCCGTCCTAAGCATTCTGCATTCACAGGACACCCCGCAGGTGGAGATTAATTGTAAATGCAGCCCGGCCCACACGGGAAGTCTCCTATCGCACTCCACCTTCTGCTCAGTCAGCATAAATCATTCGATTCCACTTGATTACCTGCAGATTTTTCTCCCCGTCTGAAAGCTCAATCTCTCTTTGAGAAAAACTCAATACTATCAAGCAGGGTTTTCCCCCCAATTCTTTGCAACTCTGCATTGATTCCATCGCACTGTTGGGAATATTAATGAAGGTTGTAGTCTGATTGGTGCCGTGATGCTGTAACAAAGCGGTTAATCAAAGACAAGGGCCACTATGGGGAAATGGGTCGCTCAATTCTCCACGCACCTCCATTTGTATTCAATAGAGAGGTTGGGGTCACATGTAATTTACAGGTAAAATGTGATACCGTCATAGTCAGTTTACCACCTTCACAGGGAGGTTTTGTTACCGAATATCAGGCAGACACCACACCAGCAACGGTTTCATTCTTACAGAGAAGTTTTCGTGTTCCTGTAGTGTCCTCTAATCGCACAGTGAGACAGTAGGCCTTGTTGTCCCGGAGCCCTCAGCCCCAGTTTCTTTTACAAGTAGGGCAACTGTGCACCTGTCCAGACCCCGTCTAGAGAACATGTGCCTCTTGCTCTTACAGAATGGATGGAGGACTCTGCGTTGGCAGGGGCCCCCCTGGCCAGCTATGCTGCCAACCACCAGGAGACCTACCGGGACCCCCAGAAAGGACCTCCAATGCCCAACGCAATGGGACAGAAACGTAAGTTCCCATCGGTATAAACGTACACCGTGAGACTTCCTCAAACCACGACTGCTTGTTACCGTTTAGCTTCCAGGCCGGGGAAGCTGAACGGTACCTGCTTCAATTTATCATAACAAAATAACTAATTCAGATCATGCGGCTTGTTTTTCCTCTGCCGCCGCTTCAGGTTGTTTGACATTCCTTCACGGAGGAGCAGTTATTTATTGACTGCTCTCTGCATCCATTCGGTCATATAGTCTTAATGCTCCTACTCATCTGGTATGTACATCGGACTACAGAAAGCGGTGTTTGCATTTTCTTAACGGACAAACTCTGCGATGGTTCTAATATTTCTACGTTTTCACAGCGGCCCCCATGTTGATCCACACAGAGCCTGTGCTATGATGCTCTGTCTTCTGCGTTAAATAATGGCCCGACTGTTTAGCGACCCAAACACCTACAGACACAGTGTCTAGCCGTTACTGCCAGCTTCCTTTTATACCAGCCTCCCACGAGCAGCGTGTCTAATTAGCACAGCCAGGGCAGAGAATTAAACCGCCTCGCCACGTCTCTCCCTCCGACTCTCCCTCCGACTCCCCCATTCTGCTCTGCGGGACGTCTTTGCCTTTCCCTCATTGATCTCTTTATGTTCTAGCTCACATGCCATCGGCTCTCTCATTCTCTGCTGCGTCGGTTCCACCCTCAGTCTCTGCCTGCACAGCGCTGTCCTTGGCATTCCTCTGAGAAAGGCGTCATTTGAAATCTCCGTTTCCATCTCCCTGCTGCTCACATTTCTCCTGCTTCCTCGTTTTGCTTTTGTATCACTGGACCGCGTGTGGATAAAGCCGCCATCTATGTTCACAGTTTTGTCAGATCTCTCCTGTTCTGAAAAATGCTCGTCATGAAGAGTCTTTGTAGCGGTTATAGCACACACCGTATAACCAAAGCCATCCATGGAACCTTTGTTGCATTCCTCCACTCTCATTTCTGTGCTGTCAAATAAAGGCAAAAATATGGATATGTTTGAAACTAAGCATTGCACAACCTGCAAAAACACAAACACCGGGACACTCGCTGTCTCCAAAGGTAATGCATTTTTCATTGAATGCATTAACTGTTGCACTACAATGACCTAACGTGGTGCCGCCGGCCACAAAGCACAAATTCCTCCGTGATCCCTTCTCTGAAATGCACCAGGTTTCAATCTTTCCTTCACCTTTGCCATCATCTCCCTATACATTTTTGTGAAGGGTGCGTATCGTCTTCTGTGGCATGTGGCTTACGTGTCTAATAAACCGTTAGATCTCCTTGTATTCGGCTGCTGTTATTACCTCTACACGTTCTCGACAGCTAAGCCGGTGGATAAATACCTCTCTCAAGCCTCTGAGATAGACTGATCCCATCTCTTCAATGGTTCCTTAATCCCAGATAATGAGGCAGAAGAACGAAGAATGAGTAATTGGGTTAAGATTGTTCTCATGCAAAAAGACTACTGTGAAATGTGTATAGTGGATATCTGAATGTTCATTAAACCCACAAACCAGTATTAAACGATGATGATGTTGTGTGATCTTCATCCGTATTGTATGTATATATATATATAATTTTTTTTTTGGAATAACATTTGGAACTACACCCATTTTATACCACATGACATCTCACCTGTCTTTTCTATATCATTTTAGATGATCTATTTATTCTAATCAGTTTTTTGTTGTTATGCCATTGGAGCAAAACACACAGACGGTAGTCGTTGCACACTTTTCACCAGATATCACCAGATCGAAAGCAGCTTCATTCAGTTTGGGTTGTTACACCAGTGTATCACAAAGACATAAATAAAATGATCTGCGTTTGTGTGTTCAGGAGGGAAGCCTTTCTTCACCCGGAACCGCTCCGAGCTGAAGGGGACATTCATCAACACCAAGCTGAAAAAGAGTCGCCGGGGGTTTGGTTTCACTGTTGTGGGAGGCGACGAGCCAGACGAGTTCCTGCAGATCAAGAGCCTGGTCCTGGATGGACCGGCCGCCCTCGATGGCAAAATGGAGACAGGTTAGTGAAGCAAATATGGTTATGAGTAAGGAACCTAAAAAGCTTTGACAAGTCAATTCCAGACATACGGAATCAAACTTCTCCACCTTTTTAGGCGACGTGATCGTCAGCGTCAACGACATATGTGTGCTGGGCTACACCCACGCCCAAGTTGTAAAGATCTTCCAGTCCATCCCGATTGGCTCCATGGTGAACTTGGAGCTGTGCCGCGGCTACCCGCTGCCCTTTGACCCCGATGACCCCAATACCAGCCTGGTCACCTCGGTGGCCATTATCGACAACAAAGACCCAATCATTGTCAACGGCCAGGACGGTTCCCACAACTACGACCTGCCGCCCAGCCACGGCAGTCAGAACAACAACATCGGCTCCACCAACGGCGGGGCCCCCCTCAACGGCCTCCCGCGGCCGCACAGCCCCTCTGCGGACGTGGCCTCCGATACGTCCTCCCAGCACGGCTACCCCAGCGACGTGGTCACCCTGGCCTCGTCCATCGCCACGCAGCCAGAGCTCATCACCGTACACATGGAGAAAGGGGACAAGGGCTTCGGCTTCACCATCGCCGACAGCCCCGGGGGCGGAGGGCAGAGAGTGAAGCAGATCGTGGACTACCCGCGCTGCCGCGGCCTCAAGGAGGGGGACATCATCGTGGAGGTGAACAAGAGAAACGTGCAGAGCATGTCGCACAACCAGGTGGTGGACCTGCTCAGCAAATGTCCCAAAGGCAGCGAGGTCACCATGCTGGTGCAAAGAGGTGAGCGGACACCCACCCCTAATGGATGGTAATGGATGAGACCAGATGGAGATGGAGGGAACGGGTGTCAACTTATAGGACGGTTTCTGATTTAAAGGCCCATACGATGAAGTATCGCAAAACCAAACAAACCGTTCCTATGAATCTGTGCAATGGTGAAAACAATGATTAGGCTGTCCCGCCCTGCGGAGAGCTCTGTTATTGACACACATAATTATTTATTCATGTAAATAGAGGTTGGAACGAAAGAGATTGCGAGATCGAGGGCTTATTATGATATGGGGGAAGGAAAGGAGGGAATAACGTTTGTGGACGTTGATGAAAGTGGGAGCGAGGGAGGTGTTCACACTAAATAGTATTGACAGTCAGAGCGCCGTAGCGGTCTTGAAATGGACAAGAGGAAGTGAGTAAGAACTGGAAACTATGAAAAGAAGGAAAAGCATCACAGGATGTTTTTTGGTCAAAGTGTGAATATTCTCTCCTTTTCCCACTTGGCCCAATAACTTATTCACTCGACTCTTTTCTTTCTTTCTTTCTTTTTCTTTCTGCTGTGTATGTTCGTTGAAAAACACATTTAGTTTATTTCAGGCTGTTGGTCTATTCCCAAGTTAAATTCAGTGGCTTTAAAGATACCACAGATCGTGCGGGACTGTCTTACGTCCGCCAACCTTACTTTCTGCCGCTAACGTGCGTTTCCATTGTTAATAGTTGAAGCTGCGCAAACTGGCGCCTGCACGTGAATGCTACCGTGCAACTGGCAATGGAAGATAAAACTGCAATGATTGAATCTTTGGTATTTCCCTTCCAATCCCCATCAGACTCTCAGTCCTGCAGCGCTCTAAACGCACCGTGTGATACAGGTAATTGACTATTTCATCTGTCAGACTGACCATAGCTTGCTTTGGAGCTCATTAATCCAAGTAACTAAAATGATTGTTTATGTGTGTGTGCGTGCGTGCACGCGCTCACGTGCAGTTTATCTCCTCGTTCGGGCTACATGCCCTGAACTGTCGAGGGAAATCGGTCAGATGAACGGCGGCCAAGTCGCATGGTCGTCTCGCATGGCGTCCCCGTCTCCCTTTCTCTGTCTTTCTCTCTCCATACGTGACGGTCTCAATTTGTGTCTCTGTCTCTTTCTCCATGCTCACACACACCCAAACGCACACACAGAGCAAACTGCACTCCTCCTCACTGGCCTTTGCTAATGGTTAGTATTCCTTCATCGCATTAGTGTACACGGGCCCACAATGTGATTTAGCCTCATCATGGGCAGGGGCTTAATAGGCTTTCAATAATGTAGAGGGCAGTTTAGCAGAGCTTGTGTAAACACTGTGACTAGCTTTCATAGCCACGAACAGACACATTGACTCCCATAGAAGGAATGGCACTGAGCTAATATACATGGTATGGTAAGCTAATAATGTATATACAGCATTTTAATTGAACTAAATTTACCAAATGTTTTTATCCTGCTTAGGGTTTAGGTACACGGCACGCACACAAACAAACACAGGAAACAAATGAATGAAAGTCGATTGAATGTACATCGTCTTCTGTAGGACCTGCCCTACTACTACTTCATGCAGATTAATAATAGAACAAAAGTCTGCTCATTACACTCCTCCCGCTTGTACATTTCCTACAGTAGTAGTGGCTACTGAAATCCTACTGGCTCCAACACCACAGAGCAGCCGGGAATCATTGAGCTGGCTCAGTGTTGCTAATTGCTAACTAATGATGATTAATTTGATTGATTACTTAATTTAGCGATCTATTCATTCATTCACTTCAATATGATGTCAGGAAGAAGAAACGTCAGAGAATATGTTCAGAAATGTATAATCAATAATCAATTTCAAATTGTAGGAAACCGAAAATTAGCCCATTTACCACATGGGGAGAGCCGAGACCAGAGATTGATCAAAGTCAATGTACCACCCACACTGCGTCATTCCCATCATACATGTCATACATGACATAGTGTACATACACACACACACACACACAGACTCTGCTGCGGTCGTGAGAGCATTAACCACGGTTCCAGATATGGAGCCTTAATTACTCCTCTGCTTTCTCACTGCGGCTCGCTCCACCAGACGCAGCAAGACGCCGCGGCCCCTAATTGGGGCCTTGATGTCGGCTTTGCTTTTCTTACGCTCTCATCCGCTTCTCCCTTTACTCTCGCTCCCTTCCTTCATCTATCTATCATCAAGGATGTCTTCTTCCATAACCGTGCGCATGTACATCAATGCGCGTGCACGCTCGGAGCCGGTTTCGAACGTGAACAGCCACGTATCCAATTAGGGGTTTGAGAAGGATCGAGTCTGCTAGAGTGTTAATTGGTTGAGATCCACTTCTGCTCCTCCATCCCCGTTTTCTGTTTCGAATTCCCCCGCTGTCTGCATGTCGGTTCACACCCGCTCGCCCACATGAAGATGAGAGCCAATCCCTGAAGACCAGCGCACCAAGGACACACACACACACACACACACACACACACACACACACACACACACACACACACACACACACACTCTCTCACTCGTTAAGGCAGCCGCTGCGCGACAACGTGCCCCCTCAACCTCTCTCCCACTGTCTTTCTCACCATATAGTTGCTGCAGTTACACATATTGATAGATACAGAGGGAGAACCACCCGCTGATCGGACTGTTACGTTAAAATGAGACCGGGTCTCACAGGTTATGAACTCGAGGCACAGAAGTCTCTTGATTTATTACTTCAATTAGGCCTGAGTTTTGGGATGCAGTGACAGATGGAAGAATGTCTAATTACACCGCTCTGATGTGCTCATCTTACCCGGCCAGTCTCTCTGATGAGCTGACTTAATTTCATTTTGGCCCCTGATGTCCTGCCGTAGCACAAATGCTAATTTCCTTTTAAACCGGTGCAAATGTTAACAGGGCCTCTAGGGAAACGTAGACCTGCTGTACAGCCTTTTCTCACAGAAGAGCCCATGTTTAGGTGTTGAACCTGACCTGCAGCCCTCTTCACATCCCAACGGCTCACGTCACTAGTCAGCGGTATAAAGGGACTGGCCATTTGTTTCAGCCCGGACGCAGACTTGTTCCGCTGCTTTTTTATTGTTTCTCCACCCGTTTGTAAGGCGTGGCCGGTGCTGCAATGGCTGCAAAGGTGCATTGTGTGTTCGTTGCAGCAACCGCTCGTAGCCGTGAAGAGAAAATGGAAGTAGAGGCAGCTGCAGACTGAAGAAATAGAGGGGGGTCGGGGGTGTCAGAGGATCAGAGAGATGATGAAAGAGCGGCAACAAAACCCCAATGATGCTCTCTCTCTCTCTCTCTCTCTCTCTCTCTCTCTCTCTCTCTCTCTCTCTCTCTCTCTCTTTCTCACAAGCACACACACACAAACAGCTCCTGACTCATCAGTCAATGGTGACACGTTCCCTGTCCCCGCTGGGCACTCAGGCCTCGCACTCTCCTCTCTGAATGAGAGATGGACCTTTTCTGCCCTCCCACGTGTCCAGCGCACTTCAAATGGCAGGTTGAGGAACCAACACAGGCAAGAGGTGTTGGACTATTTCCCAAATGTCAGTGTGTTTGATGAACCTCTCCACTGCAAAGGCACTTTCTTTATCTCCTCTGAATAAATAAGAATTTAAATACCCAAACAAATGTCAGAGACGTCAGGTTCGCTGCTTGGAAAACTCTTCCGAGAACAGAAAGGTGCATTTCCACTTGTTTGCGTTTGTTGGCCTTTCCTCTCACTGGCTGCAGTTTGAAAGAGATGAATTATTCCCTTTAAGACAGACGCTGTGTTGAAATGCGTTTTCTCCGTCCTTTCCATCGAAGTGCAGTTTAAAGAGGGTAACGAGACCAAGTGGATCATTGCTGCGATTAGATTCTGATATGCCTAATATTTGGCACTTGAGCAATTTGAACACAATGTCAGCAGACATTCTGCGAACTTACATGACCCTCATCAACTCAGTTACCGGCACGGGAACTGTATAATGTGGACATTCTTGCACACACCCATTAGGAGGAGAGAAACGTTGATGATGGGTCCCTGCGCAGACCCGAGCAGGGAATCAATCCCCTGTATGGCCAGGAAGTGTTGTATTTTTGCCCACTTTGCATTAAAAATTCTGCTGACTGCATCTGCCAGTGGCACCGTAACGAACAGCATTGCAGTCCTCAGAAGCAATAATGGGGGGAGGCTAAGGGGGGACGAGGTCTGCCCGGCAGGTGCCCACAATTCCCCTCCGCTCATTTTTGCCTCGCCGCAGGCTCGTGCCTGTGGAGCACTGCTTGTTGCACGGGGGGGAGATGAGGTGGGCTCTCCCTCTATCTTCACCCATCTCCCGTGTCCTCAAGCCTCCATTGCTATTGGGCGAATTGTAAATCCCCACCATTGCACCGCCCTGTGTTACTATGACAATGCTCTGCAGATAATCTGCGCTGGGGGTTTCCTCTGGATGGATGCGTGCGTTTGTGGGAGGTTACGCTCCGTGCAGCTGAACATTCCTCTGCATCCTTTTTCTTTAGGATAAAACATCGTGGCCTCCTTTGCAACGTTATGTTCCATATGTGGTTGTTTTTGTTTAATTACCTTTTGCATTGAAACTCTCCCATGTCATCTTTGCCTATTGTCATCTATTTAGTCACATTGGTATGCTCCTGTTTATACACACGCATCATACAGCTGTTCTCTGCCTGGCTGTCACCTTCGGGCTGATGTGAGCCTTTCACTTCTCGGATACAGTCTGTCAGTTCCCCCACTGTCACCATGCACTGTCGCCACGGTGACGGATGGACCTGTCTGCTGGGAGACATCACTCGTAGCTCAGATATACCAACATACACACACACACACACACTAAAGACAGACAACATAATCTCCTTAATAATAGCTTCCGTTAAGTGACTGCTCTGTTTGCCAGGTTGTTGCGACATCTCGTCTCTGTTTGACTGTACATTCAGTACCTGAACATATTTCGGCTTGTCACGATTAATCCAAAGCTGAGCAGTGTAAAAAGGGGCGGGGCGGACCCAACCATGTTCCCGGCCCGTTGTTTGAAAGCTAGAGACGCTGAGGTCTTGGTCACCGCTCCCTTACTCAGGCTGTCAGGGCCGAGGTCAGCCAAGGTTTCCCACCTGTCTCTAAAACAGCTCTCTCCTCCCTCTTATATGCAATTAGCTCTGGACAAACGTTTGACTGGTACTGTGTATACACACATACACAACTTCACGTGGCATCAAGGCCTCACAGTTTAGTTGAACTATCCTTGAATTAATATTTAATTCAGTGATTAGCTTTTACGGTAAAACCTATAGATTAAATTTCAATGGTGGGGAAGTGCACTGCGAAGACCTGAATCGACTTGTGTCTGAGTCCGTTTCTGACTTTCGCGGGTGTGTCCGGTTTGTGTATCCGATCGAAGAGCTCGCAGACGGAGCCCGTTGAGGGACGGCAGCAGCAGATCAGCTGCGGTGGACAGATGAAGGACGATCAAACGGGCGCCTGACACTTTGACTGACAGAGAATACCTCGGGAATGACGTCGTGCATCTGCGTGCGCGGCCTATTTAGGGGAGTGATGTGAGCTCCTGAACGAATGATTCCTATTGATCGAAGGAAAGGAGGGAGGGAGGCATAGATGAGAGTAGGAAAGATGGGAGAGGAAGGCGAGCAGGAAAGAGAAGCTGCAGATGCAACACAGTTGTGAATGAACCCAGATGCCTGAGAGATAAAGGTTGTGTGTGTGTGTGTGTGTGTGTGTGCGCGTGTGTGTGTGTGTGTGTGTGTGTGTGTGTGTGTGTGTGTGCGCGTGTGCGTGTGTGTCTCTTTTTCCCCAAAGGTTTGACACACAAAAGTGGCCCATTTTCTTTGATCAGACACACACTCATGCTGTACATGTGTTGCGTACCTCTATTGAGGTGTGCGTGGTTCTTACTCCACTCATTGTGGAATTTTGAATATTTCAGAGGTAAATACACAGTGCGAGTTTAGCATTTTCCCTTTCTTTGATGCATTCCTTCTCCTGTTCTCATTTCCATAACTTCATACAACTGTTTATTTCATGCAGAGTCGAGGGTGGGAGTGGGGGAGAGGGGCAGTGATGTGTTTAAGGAGCTAATTTCCCCGGCTAGATCCAGGCTGTGCGATCATTTCAGGCGTCCCTCAGATCGTCTCTGTGCGCTACTTCTCCGCTATAATGATATTTCTGGTCACTGCTCACTCAAGCTGAGACCTGTCACTCAAACATTAAGCACACATAGATTTGTGTCGGGAGTGCAGCTTGAAGCCCCCTGATCCTCGTGTGTGTGTGTGGAGGTTTACCAGCATGTAGGGGTGGGAGGGAGATGTAGCGGAGGGAGGGAGGGAGGGTTGGTGATGATGCTGAGGAAAGAAAAGGGAGGGACGATAGTGTGCAGTGAGGTGAGAGAGAGAAAAAGAGTAGGAGGACGGGGGGGGGTGGGGGGAGGAAAAGGCAGCAGGAGAGGGAGAACCGGGGAAGAAGCTGCTACTGCCTATAGATGCTGGAGCCTTCGACGGCGGAGCGCGGCGCTCAGTGGACACAGGAAGATGGTCTCAGTAAGAGGGGAACTGACGGTTGCCTATAATTTAATGTTCAGTATCTTGGACTCCTTCTCCATGGGTAATGCTACGGCCGGGAAACTCCAGAGCACAGCTTGCTCCTCTCCCTTTTTTTTCTCCTTTCTTTTCTCTGCCTTAGTTGCTCTCCAGGATTCGGCCCTTTTTTTTTTTTCTTGACTGCCACTTTTCTCGCTCGCTCACTTGCCCGCCCACTCACTCGCTCACTCACTGTCATGCTCCGCCGCCGTCGGGTAGCCGGGCTCTCCCAGGCTTTTAACACCCGAGGGCTGGCCCCACTCTTCCGCCGCACCACCCGAGCCGAGCGCCGGCCACGGCAGTGATGCAGATAGGTCGCGCTGCCCCCCCCCCCCCTTCCCACATCTCCTCGCACACACCTCCCCTCCTTTCCTCCTCAAACGCCAGGAACAGCGAGCAAAGAATCCGAGCAGGGAGAGAGAGAGATAGAGAGGGAGGGGAAAGGAGGGAGAAAGGAAAGGGGGGGAAGGAGACAAGGGCTAAATGAGCATTGTTTTGGAGTCTGCGTGACCTGTATCTTTTCCTCCTTTCTTCTTGTATTTTATTTTTTTGCATCCACAGTTGTTTTTGTGAACAGTACACTGTAACTACATCGGTAACCTTCTCCCCTTTTTTTGTTCTCCCTTTTCCCCATTTCTGTCTGGCTTCACAGGGGTGGCACCAGCAAAGAAGAGCCCAAAACTGGTAAGTAGTTTGTTTTTGTGTACCCCCCTTCCCCTTACGTCTCATCCTTTCACATCCTTCCTCCACGCTCTTCTGTCCTCTACATGGTGTGCCTCTCAAGACTGATTCTCTCCTCTCGCCTCCCACCCCCCCCCGTAAGGTGTAACCTGTTCTGATGGTTTGTGTCTGTTGGGAGACACGGGGTGCTGCGCTTTGCGAGGGTGGTTTAGCATCCCCCCCCCCCCCCCCCTCTCCTCTGCAACAAGGGGCTTTAGTGCACAGCGTGAGCAGGGTTGCTAACACACTGGTGATGATGGCATAGGGGGGGGGGGGGGGGGCTAAGCTTGCAGGTGTGAGAGGGTTGGATGTGGGATCCCAGCTGAGAGCGGGTCTCATCCTGTGGTATCTGCTGATTAACGGACGGACCCTGTTGACTCAATCTGACCAAACGTGTGTTTGTCCATATTGTGTTTGTTTTTTTGCAGGATGATTTTGAGCAGGCTCCACCATACAGAGATTACTTCAGGGGGGTATGTGATGTCGTTCAGCCGGGGGGTGAAAGTTATTGGTTATTATTACTGGTGCTGGGTATGGAATGTGTCTGTGGGGGATAATGGTGACGGTGTGGGCTTTTTAAAGCCGGCGATTAAAGAGGTGATGATAAGTGAAAGGCGATGAAGATGACGCCTCATGGCGTGGCGCATCGAGGTACTGAACCAGAGTGGGTCCTGCTGGTGGCAAAAACGGGACTGAGGAGCTGCAAGGGTTTGTAGTGATTGCCCCAGCAGCCCCAGCCCGCCCTCCCTCCCTCCCAGCCTTTGTCTCCTTAACAAGTTATTGGAGCAGCATAAACCATCGTAGTAGACCAGTCCCGGAGCAAAGAAGGAGAACACAGCCGCCTGCAGAGGGTCAAATCTAATGAACCCTTCAAAAACAACACTATTGTTTTCATATGACAAGTGGAGTAGATTTGGACTTTGTGTACACCAGTCAAAACATAGATGCTGCTCCATTGGCTAATGGAGGCACTATTTTGTTTGATAAAAATGAATGTGGCCTCTCAGGAGGAAAGTTTAACTTCAGCACTAAATTTGACTCCACATCACAGCCCAGTGGGGTTACACTCATAATACTAGCGCGGTAAGCATTCCTGCTGGATTCACGGCTCTGACTTAATGTTTGCCAAAGCGTCAAGCTTCTTTTATGACTAACAGGCGTGATGAATATAAACATGAATTGCAGAGGTGTAGGCGGCTGATTCCGGGAGTAATGAGTCTGAATTTATTGAAAACATGGCTGCGCTTTGAAGGCCAAACGCTTTGATATTTGCGAGCAGATGAGGCGTTTGCCCCCGCCTCTTCCTGCTGTATTTTTGTCCACTGTATCCAAAGTGCTGGGAGGCCACATGATGCGAAGAGACAGAACTGCTGTCCTTTTCTCCCATTGTCTTAAAATACCTTTTTTGTTGTTGTATGTAACCCTTTGCCTTCGCCGGTTTCTTTCTTCTGAATATCGGCTTAGTGTTGAGGACGGGACCGCAAAGAAAGACACTGTGACAAGTGGCATGGAAAGGATTGTATTGTATGCACTTTACCAAGCTCAAGCACCGCTCCCTTCAAATCCTCAAGCAGCTGCTTAAGTGCCCATGTTATTGAGGGGGCCACTGGCAAATTATGAGGAGTTTTACGTTACTGGCTTAACTAGTAAAATCTTCCCTCTGTTTCAAAGCCCAGCAGTGCTTTATTCACTATTTCCTTGTTAATACATTCCGCTCTGTTAAACAAAAGGAATGGGAGATGCACCCCTTGTAAGTTGAGCTACATTTGTGTCTTTGTTTCAGCAGAATGACTTAATCATGAGAAACCAATGCAGGTTAGGCAAAAGTGACTTGATGCAGTAAGTTTATTATTTGTCACGTTGAATCTTCCAGCAACACAATGGTCGACGACCCCCTTCCGTATTCTAATGTTTCCCGCTGATCCTTCTTCCGCCAACCATAACTTCCTGCCCTTCCACTGCTGATAATGCAATAACTTATAGCTTATGTTTGTCGCAACAGCTCAGCCTCCACGTTCACAGGTGTTCTCACACAGCCCAATTCCAACTTTCAAATGACATCGATCTGCTTCTCCAACAGCAATTGTCGCGAAAGGACAGTCAGAACAGCTCCCAGCATAGCGTGTCCAGTCACCGGAGCATCCACACCGACTCGCCCTTGCACTCGTCCCTGCCGCTCAGCGAGAGCATCGCTCCCCCGCCGCCGTCTCAGCCCCTGCCAGGCCTCCCCCCCCAAGACCCTCCGGCAGACGGCACCATCCAAAGAAAACCGGACCCCTTTAAGATCTGGGCCCAGTCCAGGAGCATGTATGAAAGTAGGCGTAAGTATATATTTTTGGTGGCGGATGGATAAGGGCTGCATGGGGCTGTCGACTCGGTGGAGGACCCTGGTGTCGTTAAATGGTACTGATCTTTTTGGAGCAGGATTTGGGATGAGAGATCAGTCTTGTGCATGTAAGTAACTTGTTTACATTCAAACACATCCACCTAAACTCACATATAAACGTGGATGAAAATAGCAAGGTAGAATATACCATTCATATTTAATTTTAAAATATGATAAAATGTCTTCAAAGTTAAAAACAGTAGTGTAAATGTGCACAGTCACTCACAAATCTGTGTGCTATATGTAAAGCTTGAGTCAGCAACCAAATAGCTCCGCCGAGCTCGCACCAAAAGCAGAGAGAATCAGCAAACTTTTACGTGGATGTCCAGTGTCAGTGTTGATGGTAAATGCAGTCCATTAAGGCAATAAAGTGTCTGCTATATAGAGTTTGGCTCCTTCTGTCAGTGATATCCTCTTGCTACTGCAGCTGCTTTTCTCCGACTGCTCTCCAAAATAAATGAATATCAGAGTCAGCCAAAACACTCATGTCAAATAACGGTGCTGGGTGCAAGAAGCGCTACGTACTTTGCGGATGCGGACTCATCCTTCTCAGTACATGTAGCACGGCCTGAGGAATGTGATGCTTCAGTCTGCTACATTCACCATCAACACTGACGAGACATCTACGTGAAATGTATCAGATATTTAGCTTTAAAATGTAACATGTAGGCATGAGAGTGATATCTTTTCATCTAACTCACAGCAGGGGGCAAGTAAAAATGCCCCAAAATATTGAGTTGATCCTCTTCAAAGCCAAAAAAGTCAGCATTGATTTGTGAGCTGCATCAGAAGGTGTTGTCATTTGTGCAGTCGTTTTCAGGTCACTACTAGGTGCCACTGTGTTCTAACAGTGGACTCTATTGATCCACTTGTACCCTAGACTTCCCGTATCATTAGCAGCAATAGTGGAGTGAATGTCGTTGGCTTGCATACCCTCCTCCTCTTTGTCTAACCTCGCCAAAGCAAAGGGAGACTTTTAATTAAAACAGCCCTTGAATCCATTGTAAATGGATAAACTGAATAAAATAGGAGGAGGAGGAAAAAGAATGGGAGTCCGTAAGGGCTGCGAACATTCCATCGCTTTCTCAGGCACCACTGGGGAGAAAAAAAAAGGATTTTCATTATTTAGATGCCTGTGATGGAGAATAATGTGGAGTGAAGGGCCCGGCGTGGGTCGCTGGTGCTGAGGCTTGTTGGCAAGATGAGAGGACAACGGTGCCGGAATGCAAAACAATATATATGAACATGTTCCCAGTTTAATTTCCTCGCTGTTTGATCCGGCCGTGCGTGTCACTTGCCGCTTTCGCGTACTTATCACAGGCCTTTCCATCGTTTTATCAAAAATTTATGGATTCCCGCCCAGTTGCCTCCCTCAATGATCAATTGACAGGAGCTAGGTGCAATTGTGCAGTTGGCTCTACCGCAGCGCCCTCCTCCCCCGGGTCCTCCGCCCTCGCACCGTGATACGGATTCGAAGAAATTGCGGGCGTTCCGCGAGGATTTTATCTGTTGACTAAAGGAACAGATTGGGAGCAGCCTGTCGGTGCCTCCTGCCACCCTGCCACCTCTTTGTGGATTCAGGGGCCTGTGTTGGAGCGAGAGGGAAACCTCCCAGGGAGTTTGCTCAGAGGTGCGTGCGTGTTTGTCAGCCAGTACGGCACAGCTGCGGCCGCACGAAATGCACATACATGAATACGTATGCACGCGCCTGCAGCAAGGAAGTGTACACAAGTGTACGAGTTGAGGCTTCGTGCACACCCACTGCTACATGAACCATGAGCTGTCAGGCGCGGCCGCGAAATGGCTCTTTTATAGCACAGCACCTTTCTAGTGGCCGGCACTAACCAACACACACAGAATCCTTCTCTTGTTGCTGGGAGTGGACTGTGAACAAGCCACACTCAATAATATATAGTGTATTCCAGCATGTGTTAGGACCTGTGTGTTAGTGCTCCCCTACACTTTCAGGAGTAGAAATGAGCTTGCATGTCACACATCACTTCATGAAAGAGAAAGAGTGTAGTCCAGTGGAATAGTAATGTAAATCAAAATAAAACCATTGCTATTTCTGACTTCAGAGTGAAATTTCAGCCTTATCATTTCTAATTATGGGACCAGTGAATGAAGGTGCTCTGAATCGTTCTGGCAGTCTGTCTGGCTTCTTTATTTAAGCCGGATACCTATGGTCTTTACCCAAAATAGATTTCATCTTTCATCTTTTGACAGATTAGTTGTTTGTTCTTTCCCCAAAGCCTCCAGACAGACTGTTTGTGCAAAGCGCTTTCTTGGTGACAGAGCTCACAAAATCATTGGGAGGATGAATACTTGCATGTTGACATAAGCAGACTGGGAGGGGGGGTTGATTCCCTAAAAAGCATTGGGTGCATCCGTTGGGGCCATACCGTTGGCTGCAGGTATAAATGTGCATGCTGGGACTGAACTCTTCTCGTACAGCATTCGGTCTTGATGCAGATATTTTAACGCTATTTATTCATTTTACAGTTCCAGACTTCCAAGAGCAGGACATTTTCCTGTGGAGGAAGGACACCGGGTTCGGCTTCAGGATCCTTGGAGGCAATGAGCCGGGAGAGCCGGTGAGTTTCTCTTTATGTGTCAACTACAGCTGGCAAGATTCAGCAACCTGAATGATGGAATGGACGTTCACAGCACTGTAGGATCCCACTTCTGTGTGGGTTTTTCAATTTATCAGCCTCCAATTTCATATCTGTGAGAGCACAGCTTCCATGAAAAGAAAACCACCCGTGTTGCACACACCCATTCACACCATGGCAACGTTTTTTTTCTCATTCACCATCCTGCACTCCTGCATTTCGAAAAAATAAGTAATTTACCTTTGCTTATCTATAGTGTGGTTTGTATTATAAATGTACTGCATGCTGATGTAATACCTGCTGAAAAAGTTTAGACATTGAACGAATGTCTGTGTAGTTTATCTCCATTTAAGCCAAATGTATTTCCCTTTTTGCTCATCTTCTCCTTCACCATCTGGATGTTTGCTCACAGTCTCACACGTCTCACACATCGACTTTGTTTGCCCTTCAGATCTACATTGGCCACATAGTGAAGTACGGCGCGGCAGACGAGGACGGACGCCTGCGTTCCGGCGATGAGCTGATATGCGTGGACGGCACGCCGGTGGTGGGCAAGTCGCACCAACTGGTGGTGCAGCTGATGCAGCAGGCGGCCAAGCAGGGCCACGTCAACCTCACCGTGAGGCGCAAAACCAACTACGCCGGTAAGAAGGGAGCCTCTCCCGGTAGACCTGCTGGCAGGTTCAGTGTGCCTCTCGCCGTATATCTATATGTGAGATATAGGTCAGTAGATCCGACAGATACACACTCACCGGGTTTCCTCGTTGTCCCTGTTAACATATTTGAGCTTTCATCGCCAAGGGCCCTATTTAATTTTGTCTTAAATCCATCAGGGGCCCGTGGGGCCTCCCACTGTAATAGCCGGGGTGCAGAAACGCTTGGAAGTACTGAGTCACTACCTTGAGCAAACGCTACCCCCACCCCCGCCCCTCGGCCCATTACTGTCATTCTCTGCTCTGCTCAGCTCCACCCAGCTCCTGAGCAGGCGATAAAGAAAGGCCCATAAATATGATGGAGAGGGTGGTCAACCTTCGGCCCGATGACAGCGGACAGACATTAGTGCCTGGCTGCTCCCCGTGTGCCTCGGAGCGGAGACGATATGAGGCGCCTTCCGCGAGCAGCTGTACCGGAAATGAAATGTCCACATTCTACAGTCGGGCCGCGTCTTTAGTTAATCTTTTGTTCAAAACAGATCACAGGAGTGATCGTTGGCTACCCTCTTTCCCCCAAGACGTCCTTTATCATATGAGCACAAGCTAGCGGTCCGTGTTTATTTACAATCTTTCTCAGTTTTCGGTTTGTACAGCTGGTGATACATATTGTAATGTTGTTATATTTAGTATTATTATGCACAGGTGTCCTTCTCTGCTTTCACCCATCCTATTTTCCCATGAGCTCCTTATGTAACACTGTCAGGCCGTCTTTCGTGTCTCACCTCCCGCTTTACACGATTTGTTTTTCATTATCTTGTTCTTCAGACCATCTCCTCTCTTGACCTTAACGGCACGATCTTCATCTTTCTCTCCGTGTCCTCCTCTGCCTCGTCTAGTCAAAGCGGAGGGAGATGTGCCTCCGTCGCCGGCGTCCTCCCACCACAGCAGCAACCAGGCGCCCAGCCTGACCGAGGAGATGGGGAAGCGCACCCCACAGGGCAGCCAGAACTCCCTCAACACCGTGAGCTCCGGCAGCGGCTCCACCTCCGGCATCGGCAGCGGGGGAGGGGGCGGCGGGGCGGGCGGCAGCGGGAACGCCGTGGTCTCCTCGGCAGTCGCCACCACCTCCTCTCAGCCCCCCAACGTGGCCTCCAACGCCCCCTCCGCCCTTCAGCCATATGACGTGGAGATCCGCCGCGGCGAAAGCGAGGGATTCGGCTTCGTCATCGTCTCTTCGGTGTCGCGGCCCGAAACTGGCACCACCTTCGGTAAGAGATGTCACACTTTTCGCTGATTGGACGAATACAAATACTGCGGAAATTAGTTCCACTCAGTAAAACATGAAACACACTTCTCATCACTGGGACCTTTTATCTTCCTGTCTTCTTTACGGGCTGCCGTTGTATCTTCCATAAAAACCACTGAACACTAAAAAGCCCGATAACCAGCACGGATTCCGGCTATTTACAGTCCCACCAGATCAATACCAACGCTCTTCAAAAAAGTTGTTGTTCTCTCTCATTTGTATCTGAGCTTGTCAAGCAAAGACATTGAAACCCTTTCCCTGCCTGCAGCTGCTGCTACACTTACACACACAAGGCTTTTATAATTGATCACAAGCAAAGTGGGCCTTACGTAAGGCATTTGTATTATTCAGCTGAACTAGCTTCCGCCAAGGTACGCACTAAAAGCCTAATGACAACGTAACGAGAATGAGTAGTGTAAGCAGGATATGAAAGGCAAATGCTAGGCGGGAATAACTACGTATTACGACTCAGATCAGGAACTCAAAGCCACATTACATTTTTGAGGTTGTTTTGCAGCATTTAGCTGATAGAGGTCTATCGCAACGTATTGTTGCTGTTACTGTGTGATCTCTCACATCCACAGAAAGCCCTTGACTCTACTTTGCTATTCACAAACTCGCGGTCTCCTTTCCGACCAGTGCACTCTTTCCCCTGCTGCCGTGGCTTCCTTCCTACACCACTATGGCATCCCACTTCTCTCAGTGCTCTTATCTCTGTCAGCGTGGGATGACTGAAAAAGCATGCAAATGCTCAACTTTCCGGGTTGGCTTACAAAATGGCAAAGCTTCATTTTCGCAGGCCAGAATGGAGAGCATGGGCCCGCAGATAAGCTCCATTTAACTTGACCTGACATGTTAAATCGAAAGGAAACCAATTGGCTACATGAAACTAGTCCATGCATACTGTTAGTATTTGGAGGAGCACTCCAAAGAATTTTGTTGAGAATTGCTACAGTAACCATTTTTTTCTCCGTCTCTCCATCATCTACTTTCCTTTCGATATTTTGCGGTCAGATAAAATGAAAAAGACAGGAGCGAGGTCAGGGTTGGACAGGGTTATAGATGAATAAAAGAGCGGAAAGCGGTCGGAAGGGAAGGATGAAACACAATGAAAAAGCAGATTGGTTTAAGGCAGGAGTGGTTGCACGCTCCTTTCCTCTGCAGTGACTGTCAGACTGCAGACAGACGCAGGAAGGGTGAGGAAGGGAATCAGAGACCTCCGGGTAGTTGGTGAGGTGTCAGCTCTGATGTATGTTTGTCGCCTCCGACTTTCATGCGGGTGCAGGTGTTTGGGATGCAGACGACGGAACATAGTTCTTTCATTATTAGCTTTCTGCTGCCGGAGAGACTCGTTCAAATGTAATGACACCCATTTTAGAAATTGGGTGGCGTAGCAGCCGGACGTATTATGAGACAGGTTGGAGGAGGACAGATGCAGAGCACACATTTCTCCTTCTTCGGCGACGTTGTGGTTTCCGTTTTCGCTTTTCTGGTACTGGGGCTTGGCTGGCTCTCTGCTGTCTATGAATTAACCCTTAACCTTCTGGTCCTCTTTTTCTACTCCCTTTCCCATTCCTTTCCCTTCTCTCTCCAAACACACACACACACACGCACATGCGCTGAATCGCACTTCACAACGTGTCAATGGTGACCATAGCTGGCAATGCATGTGTGGCCATGCCCCACAAAATAGGGCGCATCATCGAGGGCAGCCCAGCGGACCGCTGCGGGAAGCTGAAGGTCGGCGACCGCATCCTGGCGGTGAACGGGTGCTCCATCACCAACAAGTCCCACTCTGACATCGTCAACCTCATCAAGGAGGCCGGGAACACCGTCACGCTACGCATAATCCCCGGAGACGGTGAGTAAGACAGTTACTGTTTACAAGACAGTCAGTGTTAATAGACAGTTAGGCACCTTGCGAGTGTGCACGTGTGTTTGTGTGAGTGTGTCATCATCATGGCCAAACGTGGTCCTGGCTACAGGGACTGTACCGGCGTCTCAGGTGTTGTTATTTACAAGCGCTTGTTCTTTAAGCTTGTCCATGTTGCTTTGCTAAAGGGCACAGTCATAGCAGTCAAATAATACATGAAGAATTATTAGCTTATTACATAGTCTGAGTCTGATGAGTAGGACACTACTTTCCTGAGTGGCATAGCACTCAGGAAAGTAGTGTAGCTGAAGTGTTATATAAAGTTGCACCCTTTTCACTTGCTTTCAAAGCCCAACAGAAACGGGTGTGTTGACAGAATTGCTACTTTAAATGAAAGATTGGGTGTGCGTGCGTTTGGGTGACGGCTACAGAATTTCTTCGGTATATGTTGATGTGTGATTTCAAGGAAAAGTTTGTGCGTTTTTGATGTTGTACTGTGCAGCTGAGAGCTCTCTACTTTGTGCTGAGACATCACCGTGGCATTCTTCACAAATGCTCTTTAATTAGGTGTGTGTGTGTGTGTGTGCGCACGGGGAAGGCGATACTCGCTGTCAACGCGCTCGCTGGTAGAAATTGGAGCTATTTGTCCGCCGCTCGTTGCTCTCCGGCTCACTTCTCGTGGATGAAGAGGTGTTTTTTTTTTCTTCCGTGGAGCGCTTGATGAGAACAGTGAGCCAAAATTGCTCTGCCAAGAAGACGCAGAGAGCAAGCGAGGAGGCGTCGGCGAGAAATGACATGATATGCTCCATCGGAAAGTTGTGCTTTGTGTTTATGTGCATGTGTCAGACAAACAGACGCCGTCTGACACGGAAACAGGGAGAGTGACGGCTGGAGGAGAGGGAGGGGGGGGAGCGTGGCTTCCGTATCCAAGTTGCGTCCCTCTGTTCACACATGAGTGCGTCTTCTCCGGCGTGGATCGAAGCCGTCTGAACCCTCTGATATAAATGTGCCACTGTGAGACGCTCTGCTTCTCTTTCCACTGCGCCCCCCCCCCCCCCCCTGTGTGGAAACACAGACTGCGTTTTGTTTGCGGCTGATGCTCGATACTGCCATGACAAGGAAAACAGGAACTCTTCCTGCTGTTGCGCGGTAATGCGTGCACGTACCGCTAATGCTTTCATCAAAGCTGAAGTCGCTGCAGCGTAGAGCCGAGGCGCCGAGCCGAGCCAGCACACCTCGATGCTTCGCACTGTGTACGACAAGGGAGAACGGCAGCCCCGGGTGATGCGATGTGCCACTTTTTGTTTTCCTCCTCTGGTCCTGTGCCTCCTTTCGCTTCTCCATGTGAATGCATCCTTCTCTTCTGTCCAACTCTAAAAATAACTAATAAACAGTCATGGGCCGTAGACACATTACCAGAAACGGGTCCGGTCTTTTTCTTTGCGCGCGAGAAGCAGTGGGCGGCGTGGGAAACGAACAGACTTTGTAGAGATTTGGTGTTCTTTTTCGATTCATACCCAGACAGCCAACATTGGGGGGAGAATCCCAGGGAGCCCCAGCAGAATGAAAGTGACCAAATGAGGGGGGGGGGGGGGGGGGGGGAGTGTTTACAGGGACATATTTCAGGCGGTGAAAGTGAAAAATGAGCAGCAAAAAACTGCAACACAGCAACACAGTATCCCGTCAATGACAGAAGTCACATCGGGATGTATTGCTGCCGTGATAACAATAAACATGATTACAGCTTTGTACAAAAAACGGCCTGGGTCTCTGCAGCTATTGACAACTGGCTAATTGGTGGTGGATTTTTATAGAATGTCACCTGTTTTGAATTATGCCGAGGCTTAAAGTCCTGTTTAATTAACTAGGTGGCCGCTTTGAGTGACAGGTGGGTGCCTTACGAGGTTGCTGGTAGCCCACCTCAACTCCACCAGAGATCCCTCTCAGCTCCTACAACTTTTCTCCCCAATCGAGTCCAAAAAGACGCAGCCTCACCCACGGTGCGGCTTGATTGCCTGTTACCCAAACGGTTCCAAGTAAACCAATCGAATGGTTAAGCCATGAGGCTCTAAGGGGACTGATGGAGGTAGAGGACATGAATAGATTATAGGGGAGATGACCGTGAGAATAATAACAATTAGGGGACTTAGAAGCGAGTGGAGAGCTTTAATCAAATAAAAGACACCTCCAGATGCGAAAGACGCAGTTGTTGTGCGAGGACGGTTTCTTTATGCACCGAGAGGGAGGTAACGATTGTGTGTCATTAGAGTTCAGCGTAATTCAGTGATGCCACAAAACGCTGGACCAGCGTTAAAACATAAAAGGCAGAATAACCTGGAGCTTTCATCTTTCAAGAGTCTGCATGTTTCATGTCTCACCGCTCACAGGCATAAAAGCAATAACTGGCCTTCTCTCGTCCTCCCCAGAGTCATCAAATGCATCTTTGTTGACCAATGCCGAGAAGATCGCCACTATAACCACCACCCACACATCTCAGCAACAGGCCGCACCTGAGGCCAGGTAAGGGGCATGCTGGGAAATTGAGTGTTAAGAGCAGACAAGTAAAGATCTGCCAGGTAGAAAGTGTCCGAAAGACGCAAGTACCCAGTGACTGCCTGCATGATATTCAGTCCGGGATTGTATTTGACACTGACTGCTTCATCTTTCTGCCCCAGGAACACCAAACCAAAACAGGAATCATTTGAATTCAAAGCTCCCCCCGGCCCTCCTCCTCAACCCCCGCAACAAGTCTCAGCTCAGGTGAGGGAGGACGCTCTAGTCATCCTTCATTCACTCACGCATCCATTTTTCCTGTCCCCCATCAAACACCCGGCGATCTGCGCTCCCGACCCACATGTGTCTTTTCCCACATCTATCCAGCTGTTCTAGCACCCATTTGTCCCTTCACGCATCATCCGATATACTGTGGCCACCCACCTTCCCAAGGACAAGCAAAGTGCATTGTTATTTATTTATTATTGCTTTTTCGCCTACCTGCCGGCGTTATCGGACTTTCTGCATTAAGGAAAGCCTGTTTGCTTTCAAAGTAGCCCCTCAGCCCACCGTGTTCACCGCTGAATTAATCTGGCGGTGTGGAGATGGCTCGCGCAGATAGCATTGATCCCGCAGCAGAGGAGATTAGGAGAGCGTGAAGACGGGAGATGCTGCGGCTGCCTGCCTGTCCTTGTGGTGCCCGGTCCTCCTCTCTACCTCTCTATCGCTCGGTCCGGCCCAAAGCATCAATAATTCAGCATCCCTCCACCACCTGAGCATATGCATTCACACACACTCTTGCGCGCACACACACAGCCTGGCACAGCTCTTAGATGGTGTGACTTTCCTGAAGGTGGCATTTGTCCCATGCTCTTGAAATAGAACCAGACTTCACAGGACACACACACACACACTTCAATCTAAATGACGAAACTTGATTCAACATCTCCCTCTCTTTCCGTGTGTGTGTGTGTGTGTGTTTGTGTGTGTGTTCTCTCTCTATCAGGATGCCGAGTTCTACTCAGTGGACTTGGAGCGAGACAACAAAGGCTTTGGCTTCAGCCTGCGGGGAGGCAGAGAATACAACATGGACCTGTATGTGCTGAGGCTGGCTGAGGAAGGAGCGGCCGTCCGCAACGGAAAGATGAGGGTACGGACGATGTGACCTCACAGCATCGCCAAAACATCAGTTTTGTGTGCAGACAGTAGACAGTTTTCTCAATATTTGAGAAAAGGAACCCTGACCATGTCACCAGGGTTGTTTTCCAGAGGTGTTGCGTTTAGAAAGTCCAATGTTGACAGTGTTGAATTGAATTGGGCGAGTTGTACAGGCTTGAAATCCAGCAAATCGAGAGTTAAAGCGAGGATATCTCAGCCTCTGCCGCACTTCTTTTTGTATGTGCCTCTCGCCGGTGAAATACAAATTAGCTGCTCACATATTGTATTGAATTCTAAAACATTTCAAATTATTTGACCTCTTCTTGTGTTCCTTGAAAATGAGACCTTTAAGTAAAGGTTTGAAAGTAATTGAAGGAGTCATACTTTGGGTTGTAAACAATAAAACAAACGTAATTCATTGGATCCACCCAAAAAAGGTCCACTTGGGTCCATTTGGGATTTGTTGGCTTATTATGGCACATACAGGTTCCCTCAAATGGTTTTGGTTGGTAGAATTTGGAAGTAGAAGTATTATTAAAACGTGTAATGCTGTTGTGGGAGGGAATGACAAACATTGTGAGATTTATTGATGGCGTTCACTATTCTCTCTTCTGTAGAATTTTTCCAGCTTTCTAACGGTGCATTACAGACAGTCCAGTGGATTTTTAAAAGGTTTATTTAACTCGAGAGGTTGGAGAATTTTTCCCAGCATTTAAAGGAACACTTAATCCGTCGGCCTGTCAGAAAAAACACCAAAGCTGGAGTTATGGGGTTTGGACAGCGCAAGAATTATTACAGTTATCGCATCAGAATGGGTCTCCAAAGGGATCCATTCAGGTCGGATCATTCGTTGCTCTCAGGTGCCGTCTGAGCCAGTAGACGTTGTTGATTAACACGGGTGGGCTGATGATACCGTCTCGTGGTCTTTGCAGCCATCAGAACGTTATCTATCAATATATGTTTTTCATTTAGCATAATCTACCCCCCAATTACTGCAAGCTACGCTTCGCTGAATACAAATACGGCCGTCTCCAGACCGCAGCACACAAGAGATTCATTGAATTTACTGCAATTTCAAAAACACAAGGCAAGCGTTGCAGAGCCGAGGAGCAAACCCGCCAACGGATACGGACATTAGAATTGATTCATGTTTCTCTATTAGCTCATGGAGTGGCATTCACGCACGCTGCAGAATTCGTCGTGAAAATGTTATAGTTAACCTTCACTTTGATTAACTTATGAACTTCAGCACTTCCGCTGGGATGCTTGATGGAATATACAACGGGGGGTAATTGATGTGTTTGTATGTGATGTATGACAGCCTGTCGGCAGTTACTGTCTGCACGTCAGCTGCAAAGGCAGCGTTTATACATACATTGCTGCTTGTGTACTTTATTAGCAGAGATATTAATAGTTAGCAGCGCTGTGAAGGGTGGGGGGGGGGGGGGTAGGTGTCAGCGATGGATTTGTATTGATGAGGCATAGAGGGAAGAACCGGAGAGCAAGAAGTCTTTCTTCTGGCTCCTGCTGTCCCCTCCGACCCCCCATCTGCTCCCTCCCTCCCTCCCTGGTTTTCCTCACTCCGGGTCACAGTTGCTGTTTTTTCGATGCAATTTGAGAAAAAAATGTGTTGTTGCTTTTCTTCGATTTGCTTTTCAGAAGATTCAATGTGTAACTTCTCCTCATTCTGTCCTCCCCTCCCTTCTCTTCTGCCTCCATCGTGTCCCTTTGAACCTTCATGTCTGTCATCTTTCCTCCTGTGTACTTTATCCCTCACTGTCACCGGTTTTCTGCCTTGTCTCCTCTCTCTCATCCCCCCCCTCTCATTTACTTCCTCTCCCCTCCATCTTCACCTATCATTTCTCCTGACACTCTGCCTCCCACCTTTTTCTTCCTCCCTCTCCCCCTGCTCCCCTTCCCCGTCCTCTTGCCTTTCCGTAGGTCGGCGACGAAATCCTGGAGATCAACGGCGAGAGCACCAAGGGCATGAAGCACGCGCGGGCTATCGAGCTCATCAAGAGTGGGGGCCGGCGCGCCCACCTGGTGCTCAAGAGGGGTGATGGCTCTGTGCCGGAATATGGTGGGTCAATCTACGAAAACATTCCCTTCTCCCCCATCTTCACACCCTGAGCCCGGGGACACCCTGTGAACGGTGGTGGGTCGAAAGGGGAAAGAACTATATTGCCCTCCGAGGACCCCTTCACCCGTCCCTGGGACAAACCCACCAGGGAGGGCGAAGCGGTCAGTGTGTCCCGGGTCTCTTTCTGGTGGAGGTCACGACTGGGCTTTTTTATTTTTTTGTGGTGGTGGTGTGGAGGGGGGGGGCGGGGTCTGTCGCCCGTCCTGCGTTCGCCTGCTCTGTGTTTCCATCCCGCTGTCACTTTTCACCTTCTGGCCACTGAGCAAAAGCACCCTGGCGGGACTTTACAGAGAGGTGGTGGGTCTGATTTCAGACACCGTTTACAGGGTTTGAACGACCGGAGAAGTGACACATCTGTGTTTGTTGTGAGTAAGAGGTTATATGGAGTCCTCATCAAACGCGTATTTAGTGTGGAAAAGGAAAACTTGATCCGTTGCACCCATGATGAAATGGGACATCTTACAGCTTTGGTTATGACGTGACACAGACGTATTTATGATATTTATTTAAGGTGAATGTAAGCTACTGAACTCTCAAAGGTTTTAAGGGAGAACTGTATTGAAATGAAAAGGCGTTCAGATGCTTTTCCTTTCTGCTAAGAGGAAAATCTCACAATACTGTGGTTGACGTTACTCACTAATCCATGGATTTTATTTGCACCCACACTGTTAATGTCATTATAAAGCTGTGATAGGAACGCCACGCATCTCCATTCAAAAACGGAAAGAGTCGCTCCAGTTGTAGACTTTTTGTACAGTGATGAAGAGAATAGAGGCATTTTTACAAGTATTTTTGTTCCGTGTACAGAGCCATGATCAAAGCCACGTATTAATGGATAAAAGTTTATTGCTGCATGAACTTGTCAAAAATGTAAATTTGATTCTTTTTCTTTCCTTCTATTGTCTATTTTCCATAATATTTATGGAGCCATTTTTTTATCGTATTGACCCGTTCTGATTGATAGTCACGAGTCATCTTAAATGTTTTTCTTTTTGTTACTTTTGATTTTCAGTGGAGTCTTGAAAAATTCCTCAATGTCATTTTATTTGCGCCAAAAATGTGCCGTCTTAACCTGCACTAATATGACATCATGTGAACTTGTATTTTTTGGATCATTGTTTGTACTTTTCAGTTGGCGCAGTCTTGCCAGTATTTCTCTTTAATTTCTGCCAGCAATGTGAAACTGCTTCATATGCTGTTGTTGTGAGTCTCACTGTCTTTATTGTTTTGGTTTTGGGTTTCTGCTGCTTCTTTGTCCACATGTCTAGTTGTGTGTGTGGGTTAGTGTGTCGGAGAGTGTGCGCACGCTTGGTTCCAGGACTTTTCTCTGTAATTGATGGGTTCCACTGAAGGGTTTGGGCAATTTCCTGGACTGTCTCTTTATTCTGAATGACTCAATGATTAAATAAACACTTTTTTTTCATTGAAAATCAACTCAATAATTCTCCTTTTCTTCCTTCAAGTTGGTTCCAAGCGATCTAAACCCTGTGCTCTTCTCTTTTCTTCCTCCCGTTTTGCACTGGGCTCTTGTCTTCCTTCAGGGACGGTCGTTCCCCATCTCACTGCATGTATGAGAAATGACAAGAATGGGGAGGCCTCTGTCCTCCAAAATCAGACCACGGTTTGTAACTGTCCTCCCATGTTGTCCGGCTCTCCCTCCCAACCTCCTGTCTTCTCGGTCTCGCTCTCTCGCCATCCCGATCCTCTGTGTGGTGTGGCCTCACATACACCCATGTGCTACTCCATTCAAATCCATCCGCACTAAATACATTGCCAGTACCGCCGCTGCTGCAGCTGCTGTTATGGATATCTTATGCAAATCTCAGCAGTAGTTGTATTCAACCTCTGGCCGACACGTCCGAGGGTGAAATGAAGCATGTTCATTTGTTCTTGGTTTTTTTTTGCCCTTCTTTAGAGCATCAAAGCCCATCCTTTTTATTACCATTGATTTAGCTTTATTACTTACATGTAAAAATGTAAATGTCCATTCGTCTTCGTAAAATTACACCTGAGTTGCACACGCTGTTACCGTAACGGATCCCACGTCGTGGCTGGATCTGATCTTGAGCGTTTTATTTGCTCTAAACATTTGCAAAGTGTCTAAGGCATCACGGCAGCGCATGAAAGAGCATGGCTAACCAGTACGATCAAGCAGCATCACCAACGGCACATTGACAGCGACTGTAACCGGCCTCCGTTCCAGCCGCCCGACCAGAGAGGTGACCCCGGTTTGACCGGGGAACAGGTTTGTTGCGGGTAACGAGTCTCTTCAAGCACTGGCTGCCTCTCCGTCACTGCCTTTTATCCTCATGTGCAAAGCATTGTTTTATACCATTGGCTGTTGCTGTGCCGTCTAACAACTAGCCATCTCTGCTGGCATTAACATCCGAGTGGCTCCCATTGGAAATGTTCTGAGCTTCATGTCTTGAGTGATTCGGCATGGTCAATGTGAGAGCGGATGGGTTCTAAGAGTCTCGATGCGTGTTTGATCCCCGTGCCCTCGTCTGTATGTCACACTATTACAGACGGCAGCCCCGTCGACGGCGGCCCCGCAGACCCAACCGCAGGGCTACAAAACGCTGCGGAAGTGAGCGCCCGGCCCCCGACCAACGCGCCATCGGAGTCGAGCTACCCACCAGAACCCAAAATATCATCCCGCAGCAAGAAGGAGGCGACCGGCTCCGGCGCCGGCAAACACCACCATTCCAACCACCGTTCCCCCAACAAGAAAACCAGCAAGGGAAACCCCAAGGGGAGGAAGTCCACGGAGAAGAACAAGCTGTCGAAGAAGAAGGACGACAAGGGGGGTGAAGGCCACCGCCAACATTCCAGTGGGAACCACCGCAGCCGCCGCCGCTCACCTAGCAAGGGGCACGGCCGGTCGCGCAGCGCCGAGAACACACTGGACAGCCGCGATGGCGGACGACGACGACAGGGCCGCTCCCCCGACAGACGCCGCGGTCAGCACTCTTCTCCTCAACGCCGCCGCTCCCCCCGCCGCTACAGGTCGCCCCACCGCTCGCGGCAACACTCCCCCACCAGACGCCAAGCCCGCTCCTCGGACCCCTACCGCCGCTACGCCTCCCCAGAGAGACCGCGCCGCAGCAACGAGAAGCCCACCGGGGGCAGGGCCGCATTGATGGAGCCGGCCAGGAGTCCCGAACCGAGCTTCAGTCTGGAGGACAGCGTCCTCCGGGAGCCGCCGCTCGTGGGCCGCCTGAACAGGGAGGCGGCGCTGCGCAGGGACGAGCAACTGTACGGGGAGGACAGTCTGCTGATGAGAGCGTCCTCCATGGAGAGAGCCTACAAGGGGGACAGCCTGCTGAGGGATGTGGCCTCCCGTGGCCAGAGAGACGCCTTCAGAGACACCCTCCTGCCCAGGGTGCGCACCCCCGACTCTGATTCAGCCTTCCAGAAGTACAGCTCGCTGCTGAGGGGGCGCTCGCCCGAGAGGACGGTGAGGGAGGGGCGCTACGCCAGCCGAGACGCCTCTCCCGCGCCGCTGTACCGAGCCCGCAGCCTGGGACGAGACATCTCCCCGATCAGGGGCTCTAGACGGGACGACTCGGAGGACGAAGAGGACGACGACGATTTTGTAGCGGCCAAGGTGAGGGAGTACTACAGCACGGTGAAGACCAACAGCAGCCGTTCATCCGCCCTGCCTGAGCCCAAGAAGACCTACAAGGACAACCCCAAAGACCTGAGTATCTGAATGGACGGCTGCCAGCCAATCACAGCCACCACCCGCAAACACCTCCAGTACTCACTCACATCACCACTCCCGCACAGACACACACCATGCGCACACACTACCACACACTATGTACAAATGTCGAGTTACTAACAAGACACTGAATCCAAAATAACTTTTGAAAAGTTTTTTCCTTTTTTTTTTATTGTATGTTTTACCCCTTTTTTTCTTGTTTTTTGGTCAAGCCAAGCATTCTACATTTACAGTTAATCTGACTTTTCCAGAAAATGTAAAACCATAAAAAACAATGATGTGCCTAACAGTTCCATTAACGAGCAACATTTTGCTTTTGGATTTGATATGTGACGGGCGTTTTGTGCCGCCCGGTCGGATGATAAAAGGTATGTACTTTTCCACGAGGATCCCATGGAAGTACCACGCACCTGGATCGTGTTATCGGTGCTCACAATGATTCTGTGCATGTCTTTACCGGTTCCAATGTCACTCTCTCGCCTTCATTTTCTCTTTCTCTCTCGCTCTCTCTCTATCCCCCAGTGCCACTGTTTTTTAGACATTTGACCAGACTATAGCACAAGCCTGCATTTGTTTGTATATTTTTGACAGTTTGCAGTATGTGTACGTTCAGAGGTGATCATTTTAAATGAACGAAGGGAAAATCAAAACTTAAACTACAATGATGATGTTAAAATAAAATAATATATTCAACAAATGAACAAGTTTTGGTTTTTTTGTTGCCTCACTGCCATGTAAACCATTTCCATAAGAATCTGTAGAGTACTGAACTCTCATTTGGGCAAATAAAAGATCGTTATCTCAGGCCTCCCAAAAGGGTGTGGAAAATAAAGACTTTGAAGAAAAGTAAAGCAAGAAGACAGCCTCCTTTCACAACATCAAAGCCTGGATAGACCAGTCTTGAAAAATGTACCTCGTCTCACCGCTTATTTGATTTGTGCCTTTTCTGTGCCCTCTATCTGCCGTTGTCCTCAGCACAAGCTTCTTCTTCTTCTTCTTCTTCTTCCTGTATCCTCTCTCTTTGCTCAAAGGTTCTTCATCTGATGGAGAACAGCCAGCGTTGTCCATCAAAGGACGCTCTTGATTATGTTTTTTTTTTTTTTTCTCTTTTCCTTCCGGATGCAACAATGGGTTGATGAGAGGAACGGCAGAGAACAGACTGGTCACTCGTGGTGACCTGTGAACGCCAGCATGGCTTCCCTGCTGCAGAGAAATGGAATGTGTCATCTCGACGCATTTGATGCTGAGACGGAGAGACACGGGAGGCACAGCGTGTGTTTGCAGCTGCTGCATTCAATCTCTGATGGATTCGGTTTTTGAGATACTTTGACAACTTGCACATTTAAAAGGCAGTAACATTTTTGCCTTCCTCCCACATTGCGTTGCCTATTTCTCCCTTAACATGTAGAGAACTGTCAACAACTTCTGACCTTTCATATGAAGTTGCTACAAGACACGCCAAGGTATTTAATACCGTATGTTCAAAAGAATGCATTGAAGATTACCCCATGGACACAATCTGTGCAGCTCATAAGAGAAAAACGAGAGGCAGAGATGAAGCATCACGATCTAACATCAAACATTTTTGGCCCAGTTTCTCTTCAATTGAACTGGGCCTCAATGCATTTCACTCCGTTTGATGCAATGATCTCAAAGGGTCGTTCCACAACTGTATTTATGGTTCAGGCTCCCTGCATTCAAGCAGCATGCGTGTATTGCTACTTGTTTCATAATGGATAACAAAATGCAGGTTGCGCTGAAGTTATTTTATTTTAAATAAAGGCATATACATCTCTGCTACAAATAGCTCATTGATTTACTCGTGTAACAATAGGGGGGCTAAAAGGAGATGTCAGTTCCCTGCAAATGCTTTTCCTTTTTTTCCCCCTCCTCACAGTGGAGAGGACGCAGCTCTTAAATAATGGATGTAATCCACTTTTCAGCAGCGCCACTCTCTCCTCGCCTCTCTTTAAATCTCTCACTTCATCTTTATCAGGAGAGACCCCCTCTCCTTCTCATCATCAAATACGCGAACAGAGCTCGGTGCTTTACTGCCTGCGTGACCCCCGGGATGATTAACTGCACATATCTGGTGACAATTCATCATGTCAGTGGCAGGCAGGAGGAGGAGGAGACACTAATGAAAAGTCCAATAACAACATGCCTGCAGCCCAAGGCAGCGACAAGCCCCCGTTCTCCCATCAGCCCCGGCTCCAGGTGCTCTCTCTCCGACCTTGGAGACCCTCTGCTCCCACCGTTGCCATGGAAACACCGATGCGGGCTCTCCTCCAGCTGGCTGAAGCAGACAAGAGTTGTGGATGTGTAAACTAGGCGGAGGGATAAAAGTAAATGAAAGGGTTATTTTTGGCTCTGTGCGCAGGGTTTTGAGATTCTTTTACTCAAGAGAAGTTGTTTCTGAGGGTGTTTCTGCATTTTGACATTACTTCTCTCTCGCATGAAGCTCAGCATCCTGTGTAAAAAGAATGTGGTTGTTCCCATTGCCCTCAACGTATGAACATCCACGCCGCTGAGGTGAAGTAGCTGTTCTTTGTCCTGATGGAGTATCTGTCTCATGCTTGGCTGCTAACAGAAATCAGCCTTCTACGGGAGACAAGTGAGGTGGATAAATGTGTTCTTGCTGCTCAAAGGGGCATTTCATGCGGTTTGTGTAATCTTGGTCATGTTTGGAGCACTGGCACACAATAGGATATGAGTGTGCATGTGACGCTTAAGACTTGCTCGCTGGATGGTTTTATTACGTATCAGTCAGCAGCTGGTCGGCTCATAAGGTCAGAGTTGGTCCTTTATTATTAAATTGTGGTCGTATATTTCTATCTGTTGGAGGCATCCAGGATTCATGTGTTAGAAATATAGAAATATGTTTGACAAACTGAAGATCCCAAGATAACTTTATAGTTGATCGATGTTTTAAAAGCTGGTGGATTTTGGAATTGATTCAAACGACCATCAAATAATCTAAACTATGAATCATTTAAAAGCATTTATTTGTGTCTATTTTCACACATCAGAGTACTAGAGGCTATAACAAGAAAATGTCTTTAAAAAGATGTACTCTGTGGATGAGCCCATCACATTTGTTCCGACTGAAATATCTCAACTATGGATTTCTTATGGATGCTGCGTAAATGTTTCAGGATCTAGAGGATAATCAAAATATCTTCATGATCCTCATGACAATTCCTTGACTTTGCCAACCGGTTAGTGCCTTTATATTAGATAACTGTGATTTGGCTAATAGGTTCAGAGGCAAGCCGCACTCGAGGGAAGTCCTTCAGCGTCAGTTCGGGTCACTGCAAGGTGACTTTTGCCTTGATCCAGAAGGTCCTGAGGGGGCTCCTTAAATTGAGGGTCTATGTCCCCACCACGTCCACTGCACTGATTTAGAGATGTCAATACGCTGAACCTTTTGTGTTCCTCCTGGCTTCCTCCCTCGGGTGAATTGTGAGCATGTCTGACGAGTAATTAAACAAATCCTGTGCTTTGTATGATGAGAAGATGATCAAGTGTTGGTCTTCTCACTCAGCCTCATAACTAAATCCCGTAAAGTGTTTCAAGCTTAGTGTGCTCCTGATCAAAGGCAAATTACAGCACACCCCTTAGTAAGACTATGTTTTAAGTTTCATCCGCTCTTTAAAGGTAAGTGGTTCTCTTAAAGCTGCCTCAGACTGACCCAATAAAATAACGATACTGTGGTAAGAAATGTGTACTTTTCCTGCTGCGCTGAATGATTCATTTCAAACTTTGTGGGAGGTTCATGGTTATTCAAAGAGGTAAACGCTTTCTGATGAGTGTTTTTATTCAAAGGTTTTTCATTAAAAAAATCAACAACCTTCAGCTTTTAATAATGTTGAGATTATTCACTCTGTTAATTAAAGGAAGAGTTGTAGGTTTGGTTTGTCAAGTATGTATAGAGCGTTTTCCATGTGGGTGGTGGAATTTGGAAAAGAGGATAATCTATTCTTGATTTAGTTCAATAGTTATAATAGTTATACACTTACATATATGTCCAAATGTACATAAAATATACATCCAAATATACATTTCTGATTGCACAACCTGCTTCATGAATACTTAAAATGACAAAGGCTGTGCAATCGACATCCAAAATGTTTCAACTGTAACAAATGCAGCCATGTTGGGCCTCTTGCTACACAACTTCACACCAAATGTGAAGCAGATCGGACGGCGGGTGTAAACACGGGCGAGCACTGCAGACAGCTGCTCACAGATGTAAAGTGACTAATTTACACACGGGGCCCCGTGGTTCTGACCAGGGCCGACTGTGTCACCTGTTTGGCCATTAAGTGATGTGATGGTGGGCTTTTTAAAGAAGCCCTCTCCTTGATGTCCAGGTCTTACTGAGTGGACCGATGCCTCTGTAATTGGTCCTTTTACTGAAAAGAGGCAAAGCTCTCCGCTTCGACCCGGCCGACGCGTGGAGGGGCCCTCATCGTCCACCTGAGTGGATGAGTGCAGCTTCTCCTTTCCATCAGTTTACTCCCCGAATACACAGTGGACACAATTCAGGATGAGTTGTGAAAGAAGGAAATACCCCAATACAGTCTCATTATTGGTGATTCTGGCCACTGGGGGTCTAAATGCAAACTTTGCTGCTGTGGTAACGAAGAACGGGCTCTTCACCTTCATTTCTAAGCAACCACCACTGCTGACAATGACCTATCTAACGTGACTCAGACGGCACTCAGCTGCTATAGCGGTCGTAAATGTGAGTTACTGAATGTGAATGAAGGACAAACAGGATAAGCATGTTTCTGTACGGCAAAGTACGTCTATATGTTGGTTAAAATGTTGTATATCATAAATTGACCTAGATGAGTGTATGTAACACCCTATAGAAAATTAGGTTATTCTGATATTAAATTAACTTAAAATTGGAGCTTGACATGGGAAAGACTGGGAATAATTAAGCTAAACACACACAGGTAAAATAATTTAAAATGAATAGCATTTAAATGACTGGGGTTATAAATGGAATACAGAAACCAAACTGCTTCAGGGGGTATATATATATTTTAATGAGTCATTAGGTGACTTACCTACTTACTCTTACAACATGGAGGCACTTTATTCTGTCCATCAGAACTCCATTGATTAGTTGAATAAATAAGCTTTAAAATATTAGTCAGTTTTATCAGTAGTTGCACTTTAATGACTTGGAGTTGGGTTAATAATTTCTTTTCGTCGCAATTATCTACACCTCATAGCAAGGGAAATGTTGTCATGGAGTCCATTGTAATATTGGCTGACTTGAGAAAAACAAATAGTAATATCCTCCACACTTAATCATTTCCGTTCACTCATCTGAGTTTTGTTGCATAATTTAATGGGCTACAATTATTACGCATTCATTCGACGTGTCACACACGGGAAATGAGGCTGTGTGTATCGGCATCTCCCTACACGTACGATGTATTTATGTGTGTATTTATATAATGTCTAATTCTAGGACACGTGTTTTTGTCCCACACTGTCATCTTGTGGCCAGTTCGAGACGTCTCCCTCTCACCAGCGCCATGATACCGTTTAGTGAGTCAACAGACCACTTCCTGTGTCAGAACACGTCGCCGCCTCCCGAGCTACACAACTCAAACCCTCGAGTGTGACCGATCCCCTGAAATGAGAGCAATATGCAGTGTTTTTGCCACCGTGCTCCATCATGACG